TCTAATTGATAACCATACTGGGAGGAAGGTAAAAATGAGCATGGCTTAGCCCAGGCTGTTTAAGTACTGTCTGATAAGGTCGCACGTGAAAGTTGTATTGTTACGTATGTTCACTGTTTTATGCATACATGGCATACATGATCATTCTGTATGTAATGGATTTCATTTTTCTCTGCCTCCTTCCCAGAGAAAACAGCAGAGTTCTTCCTCCAGCATGTGGACAGCGCTTGTGTTTTCTGGAATGCCAGTACCCGATTCTCTGATGGCTATAGGTTTGGACTTGGTAAGAGGGAAGATATTGTAGGGTTGTGACTGCAGAATTTTGTGGTGTGTGAACAGTGTGGCGGTATGAGTCTTGAAAGATAGGATTAGTCTCTTATCTTACTGTCTAATAAAAGGTTTTCAGGAAAGGTACTGTACCAAAAGTTGAAGCCTAGAAATTTCATCCACACAAAGATATTTTGGATCCTTTGAAGCTCTATTCAATTGCAGTAAAGTATGCTGCATGCATATAGTGATAGAACAATGCAGTACAGGATGTGAAACTGCTGAACAGCTTTCCTTTTGTTTCTCCTTCTAACGATGCTGTAAAGAATGCAATGCTTCAGTCCTGCTGGGCGGATTGAGGTGCTGTCCAGTGTGTGAGTCCTGCTGTGTTAAGGAATGAATGGTAGGAACTAAACTGACTATCAACTGATAAACAGGTGCAGCTACTGTGAATTGCAGAAGATAAAGGAAACATTCCTTGAAGAGGTAGAAAATCAGAAGTCTCCATTACACGCTGTTACTGTGTTAGCTGGAACAGTGTTCCATGTGACTGAAAAGTTCCAGTTAAGGTCTTCCAATATCTCCTCAATGTGATAAAAAAGGACGTAAGATCATAATCTTTACTAGTTTAGCTTTTTTTCTTGTTTGAAGGATTATGCCCTTAGATCAGTCTAAGAGCAGCAATGTAGGAGATACCTCTCTCTATCTCTCTCTCTTGCATCTTTCTTTCTGAAAGTAACTGTAGTAGCCAGAAGTATAAGCATTACAATCTATAATGTAATATTTAATCTCCTCAATCTTCTCTAATGGGGAAATGGAACTGGTATTTGGAGAGGACCAGAGAGAAAATGGCAGGTCCCTGAAAGGCAGGCAGATTTTTCTACTTTGAGGTACAAAAACATTTAGTATGAAGTGGACATCATCAGAGGATTAACTACCTTTATTTTCGGTGTTTCCTACAGGTGCTGAAGTGGGAATTAGTACTTCGCGTATCCATGCACGTGGACCAGTGGGAATTGAAGGACTCTTAACAACGAAGTGGTTGCTGAGGGGGGACAATCATGTTGTTTCTGACTTTTCAGAGCATGGGAGCATGAAGTATCTTCATGAAAGCCTCCCTCTCCCTCAAAGAAATGCCAACTGAAAACACTGGGGGGAAAACCCAGGATATAATTATTTCCTGAAGTTGTTCAGGCTTCAGGATAATCTCTGAAGGTGAAGGAGTTTGTTTTTCATCGTCAGAAACATTGTCCTTGGTCATTTTGCAGTGCAATGAATACAAAATTATCCCATCAATGAGAATTCTTCCCCTTCCACCCCTTTCACTTTCCTTAGACAGTATCTGCAAACTGACCTCACTTCTCCCAAAGACAGATTTTTTCAAATCATATAGGTAACATAAGGATTTCATTATCGACTACATTCCTTTTTTATCACAGTGCTCTCTGTAGCAAATATGTTTGGTGGTGGAGCTTAATTTTTTTTTTTAAGTTTTGTTTTATTCAAGTATCTGTTCTGGAGAACAGACTCAGTAGTTTTGGTTTTGAGGGTTTTTTTCTTCAATCTTAGGATCATGGCATCTCTTGAGGGCCGGAAAGCTTTATGCTTAATTTCTTTGTATTTGACCAGTCTTGAGATGGGGGGACAGATGTTCCAAATGTATAGTAAACTTTTGACCAAGAAACCTTTTATATCTAATTCTTTGTATTGTTGGCTATTTTAGATAAAAAACATCATTGTCTGCTACATTAATTTTGGTACTTATTTGTATCAAAGGTTTATTTTTCTTCTGTTTATATAAAACTTACTCCAACAGCATTTTGATCATGGCTTGACCAGAATGAAGCTCTCCACTTGCATGAACACTTATGGTGCACTGCAGCCCCGCCACACAGCTGGCAGCCAGAGCTCCCCGATGGCTGCAGGACATCCCGCTCTCAGTTGGGGGGTCCCGGTGTCCTCCTGCCCCTTCAGGGCACTGTTTCCCATCCTGCCAGCTGCTCTCCACTGCTGTCCTGGCATGGGTGGTGGATGCACCGTGCTTGGGATCTGGTGCCGCTGCACCCCTTTCTCCAGTCACAGGGGCATCACGATAGGGCGCAGGGTGCATCTCCCCTCTGAGCAGATGCCATAGGCTGCTGGACATGGGTGAGGCGAGTGAGACGCCTCGGTAGGTGTGGATGGCTCTTGTTCACCGAAGGTGGCATGGCAGGAGAGCTCAGATTTGCATCGGAGGGTTGCAATGCAGAGGCTACGATGGGGTTTTTGCCTGGTCATGAGGGCCATGGTGCTGTCATGACCACAGTCAGTGTGTGCAGTCAGCCCCAGGTGCACAGACACCCAGCAGTGGGTGGGCCCCAGAGCAGGGCAGTGGTACTGAGGCTCCCCTGCCTGGGCTTGCTGGCGAGTAGCACGGAAAGTGGCTTAAGAACCCCATTCCTCCAAAGTGAAGGTGAGGGAAGGATGCTGAGGGTGGGGGGGGGGGGATGTCTCTGTGGAGAGGAGGCAAAGTTGGGAATTGCAGGGAGGGGTTTAAAGTCAGTGTAGGGGACAGAGCTGCTCAGGAGCAATTCCCTTGGAGCAAGTCAAGGGAGCAGGTTAGTTCTCAGCAGGATGTGAGAACTGTGCCACGGAAAGCCGTTCCAGCATGTGTCTGTGTTGTATAAACTCTGTTAGTCTATCTTCTGCATTGTACACTGTACCTTCCTTGAGTCTTGATGTCTCCATAGCTCTTAGTGATCACTAGGCACCTTGATAGCCTTCCTGCAAGCTACAAGTGCATTGCCATATCAGCTTAGTGCCTGTCAAGCCTTTCTTGTCTTGCAATTCCAGGTTAAGGTGTGGATCTGTCTGATGTCTATCATATTGTAGATGTTTCTGAGCAGTCATCCCTCACAGTGGTGAGCCAGGTAGTGCCTTCAGTTCCATTTCTGTGAGGGTTTGTTTGACAGAGTTGTCTCCAGGGATTGCATCCCCATGTCCATAACAGTCTTTTGTTAAAGCTTGGCTTCTTGGTCATCCATCATTCTGCATTTGATGGCTCTCATCCACATCTCTGCTGATGGCCACAGCAGTCACCACTTTCCGGGGCTGCTGTAGAGCACCTGCACTGTCAGGGCACTGTTGGACCTCACTGCTGGTGGGTGCCATATTCCCTATGGAAGTCATTGTTGCTTGTGCACTTACTGCATCTCACAGTCACAGTGTTTGCGGTGTTGGGTGTCTGTGTCGCGGTTGGAGCTGCCCTGCCCAAGGGTGTAGCAATACTAAAGACAGGGTAGCACAGCCTCAGGGTGGTGTAATAGTACGTTGATCTATGTAGATACTTTGGTCTACTATGTAGACCATAATGTTCATCTCTGGGCTGTAGAGAGCAGGCACAGTTATCTTTGTTTTTTGAGGGTGCCAGGCTCTCGCCTTCAGTGAGCAGTAGTTGGGATGGTAGTGGAGTGGCTGGATCTTGAATGTGCCTTGCCTTTTACAGGTGGGCCTCAATATCTAGGTTCTTGGGTTCTTTTACCTGTGTTAGCAGAGAGTAAGCTAGAACTGGACAAAGTCAATATTTGATAGACCTTTACTTGTCATGGATTTCAAAAACAAAATGTGAATTTGAGTGCTCAAGCATTTCTAATGAATTTTTAAAGCTTACAGGCTTTTAGTTAAGGTAAAAACTCTACTCCTTTTAACTGCCCACTTGCCTGATGAATTCTTCAGTCAAATCCTGGAATTTTATCTTTCAAGGTTTGGGAAAAAAGTTAAAATTAAAAGCCTTACAAAAAAGGCCTTGTGTTGAGTGTGAGGGCGTGAGAACACTGATCAGGTTTTATTTAACTGTAAAGGTTAGCCAACAATTTTAAAGTAGTTTTTTTAAATTTCATTTCTTTGCAAGTGCACTTGTTTTCATCCAGGAAAACACAGTTTAGTAGCTAGAAAGTTGCTATTTTTCCATGTTCAGTAGACAAAATGGAATTGTCTTCAGAGTTTCTCATCTCTTACAGACTGAGATAGCCTGGGAATTAATATGTGGGTGATATTGCACTGCAGTGTAGAACATTTCACTTTAGATTGAAATCCTGTTAATATTATTGGAGTTCTCTGATGAAAATTTGATCAATGTAATTTCCTAAGTCAACTGTGATTTCTAAAGATCTTATACAATTATAGGTTAAAAAAGGTGTGAGTATATGGAGTGTTTCATAATGCGAGTGTATTTAGTGCCAGAGACAAAATAGTGCCGAGTCAAAATGTGAATTGAAACATTTTAGTCGTGTATTTTACATGATGGTAATATACAAAGCAGTGTTAGTGTTCTAAAACATTCCTACAAGCAGGTGTTTAAGACAACTACAGAGGTAAACTAGCCTTGTGGTTATTTTGGGGATCTTTTTGTACCCAAACTCCTGAGCAGGAAGAAAACATTGCTGAAGCTCATGCTAAAGTCTGAATGGTGAAGAATTAATGCCGGGTAGAATACGTTGAAACGCAGTGCTCTTGCTTTAAATAGCAGAACAAGCACTTCTCTTGCGTGGCTGTGGCCCTTGCATATTTATAATGAAACCTGTTGCAGGGCCAGCAGCTCTGTGCACTGCTGTATCGTTTACAGCTGCAGTAGAGCTCGCAGCTTTTACCAGCGGAGCCCGTCTCTGGGCGCAGCAGGTCGGGCCCGGGTGCCGCCGTTGCCGGCGGTGGGCGCGGGGCTGCGCGGGCCGGGGCCGGTGCTGAGGGCTCGCACCATGGCGGGCGCGGGCGGGCGGGCCGCCGCCTCGGCCACCTCGGAGTCCTACACAGGCCGCGGCTCTTCCACGCCGGGTGTGGGCGAGCGGACGGAGCACACACCCCGCTACACCCTGGGGCTTCTGCAGACGCCGCACAGCTCGGAGAGCACCGGAGGCGCCTCCAGCGGCGGGACGCGGCCGGGCGGCTCCAGCGGGGAAGGCCTCGCAGCCCGCCGGGCTGCCTGGAACAGCGCCGTGAAGCCGTCGGTGTCCGAAAGGGGAGGTACGCTCTCTGCCTGGGCCTTCACCTGTTTATTTCTGCCGTCTTTGCTCGGGCCGGGTTCGAAAGAGCTGTTAAAAGCGGTCCTTACTGAGATGGGGCAGCTGCAGCTAAGCTTCATAGCGGCCTTTGTCATTTAGCTGGACAGAACAATGGAAATAGTCCTTGAAGTAGCTGAGCTCTCTGGTGGGAACAATAAACGTGTTTGAATTGCTGCACAGCGTTTGCTTTACAGGAGAGAACCGAAACATGGATTTGTGTTTGATTTGTTGGTTGTTTCAGGAGTTTTGTTGCTTTTTGGTTTTGTTTTTATTTTTACGCCTGGCTTTGAAATAGTTTTAAGAGCCTGTCGGTCTCGGTGTGCGGTAAGAATGTTGTGTTCCTACAATGCAGTACTGCTACTTGCCATTCTTTATAAAAATCTACTGTCAAAGTCTGTATCTTGGCAGGCAGCAAAAAGAAGTTAAAATTGTGGTATTTTCAGACGAAAGGAAACTATGAAAAGAGTTGGAAATTATTTTAACACTTGCTGAAATGAATTCTGATGTACGTGTATCTCCATTGTGTATAAATTGGAAATTAGGTAAAATGCGTTTGGGTATTATATATGACTACTGAGGAGTCCTAAAAAAAAACAAAACCAAACACAATGCTAATTCAAGCAGGACGATCTAAATGTTGGGTTTGAGAAATAGCTGTATATCACTTGGTTCATTTGGTCTTTTAAATTACTGTTTTTCCCTGTTCTGCCAGATTCGGTGCCTTCTACAGGAAGTCTCTTCTGCTGAAATTCTGACTGAACTTAGGCCAAAATCTGAGTGACTGCTATTAAAAAAAATATGCTGATATGTCCACTCTTAAAGAAGTCCCCAACCAAAGATCTGAGCTAATATTTTTTTCACTTGTCACAGTTTTAAGATTAAAAAAAAACTCCCAACCAAACAAACACAAAGTAAAGCCCACCTCACCTGAGTAAACTCCAGAATCCCAGTACAGTAGATGTTTTTCTACCAGCCAGCCTCGATAAAGACTCATGCAGTTAATTGATCATTGAAAACCATTACTTATGTATTTTGTCTCGTGTGTCAGGTTTTAATGTAGTATAAGAAACAGAAACATTTGTGTTTGCATGTTTTATAATACATGGAGTTTTTTAAGTGGATCTGCTGTTTATATTTTCATTCATTTTTTAAATCTTAGAAAGCAATTATCTAAACTAGATTAAGGATGTCTTCAGTCATCTCGAGAGAATTTAAAACAAGTAAATTACTTAAATAATTTATTGAAAATTTAAAGTGTTCTGAGGCAAAGATATTTTGCAGGACTTTAAAAACATAGGTAGATCTTAAATACATGTGTGAAAGAAACCACTGTTAACAAATACATCCCAGATTACCATATAATTTCTGAGAGTTGATCCCCATAAATTCATAGGGTTATCATTCCGAAGTGGTTCTTTTTTTTCTTTGATTGTCCTGTTTTTCAAAAACTTTTAAAAAAGGTTTTAAAAAGGATTTCATAAACACGTGTGCAGTTTTAGATAATGATTTTTCAAATGATGGGCAAATGTGAGATAAAGTTGATTTAAAGCATTCTTTCATAAATTTAGAATTCATTAGCATATGAAATGATACTTAGTAAAGTGACTTCTGTTGTATTATTTCTGTTCAACAATGTAAATATTTTTTTTTATTAGCACTGCAGATAATATCATTGTAAAAGAATCATTTTAATGCAAGCTTGTTTTCAAAGCAGTCTGATTTATTTCATTTTATACTCTGGAGAGCTTTCATAGAATGACATTTTGTTTGGATATCTCTATTTCTGATAATAAAAATTGAAGTTTTGTAAGCTGTTTTTTTGTATGTTGCTTTCTGAATAAAAATTTGTTGTGGCTGTTTTCATAATTAACTTATTTCTCTCCCCTCAGAATCATATTTTGGGGACAAGAGTTCTTGTGTAGAAAATGCTAACACATTGAATCTCACGAGTTCTTCTTCTGTGCGAGGCCTGAATAGCACATGTATAGGAAAAACACCTCTATCTTCTGGTAGATCTGGTTGCAGAAGCCATACCCCACTTATGGGATATTCGGGTAAGATTAACAGCTCTTAGAGGAAACAGTCCAACTTATATTTCTGATGTTATTTTATTAAACAGTTTAATTTTTAATATTATTATTTTAAGATACTCAAAAAAACTCAAAACACAATGTGTTTTGTACCACAGAGGATACTGCCAAGGAACTATACACGAACAGGAATACACTATTTTGTGTACTAAGAAGATGTTTTGGTATTGCATCCTCTTACTACTTAGTTTGCATTCATGTATGAATTATCAATGTAGTTAGAATTCAGACTTCTTTCAAATTGTCCAAAATCAAATTTGTGGACATGTAGTGTGGTCACTAAAGAGCCCAAATTCATGCTCAGAATCTCTAATCAGGGTTCATTTTTAGCCTTGTAATGCATTAGACATCATATATAACATATTATCAAGTTCTTGATGCAAGTTTTATGTATTTTATGTTGACGTGTTCAGAGGTGTAGAACACTAGTTCTCCTGAACCCTTAGTAGCTGATGGTACATCTTGCAGTGCTTCATATGAGCAAAATGGTGTTACAGGGTAATGATGCCTTGTGCTATGTTATATGTATCATACGTGCTCTCATAATGCGAAAGTAATGGGATTTAAAGTTACTTCTTTCACAGTCTGACTAATCATTATCAGTTCAGTCTTTAATGTTCTTAAAGACTGAACTGATGATGATTCCTTCCTGCATCTGTATATTTGTTTATGCTTGCTCTGTCGTTCTGTGATGCTCGTTGATCAATCTTTCATTAATCTGTATTTAATGTAACTGAATATATATGACTGTTTTACAGTTACATCCTCATCTGCAGTTTCTGCTCATACTGTTGCATCAGTTATTGTAGCTGTAGTAGAAGGAAGAGGCCTTGCCAGAGGTGAAGTAGGAATGGCCAGTATAGATTTAAAAAATCCTGAGATGATATTATCACAATTTGCAGACAATACAACTTATGCCAAGGTATTTTATAGTCTAATTATTGTGATTTACTTTCTTGAAAAAAGCTTATGACTAATGGAAAATTAAATTTCTAGTTTGTGGAAGAGATTTCTCAGAAGTGGAAGTAACAAGTTCTAGAAAATGTGCAGTGTTGAAAAGATTGCTCTTTTCCTTACTGTGCCTCAGATATTAAAGAGGCAAGAATGTTTTTCAAAAGAAAAATAGCCTTTCTGCAAAATACACTGTGGGACTGAGATGCCTTGTTTTGAAGAGCATTGGGCAATACATGGTAGTAGAACTTGCAAGTGTTCTTCACCAGGCAAAACAACTCTGAGATGTGCATAAAATGTGTGTGTGTGTGATAGAGTAGTTATAGTTCTGGCATTGGTTACATAAATACTCTGTCTCAGATTGAAAGGAAATTCACTCAATTTACAGCCAGCACTGCATATTCTACATTTGGTGAGTAATCTCTGGTTTATGCAGCAATGGCTTTAGTGAAACATCTTATTGCATGGGTTATTTTGTAGTTATGCATGCTAGAAAATAATGTGGCTTGTAGCATCTTTACAATATTCAAAGAAACAAAAGCTCTATTGGGACAGTAAGTAGCTCTGACTCAGAATATAAACAACCATCAAATCTGTTTACTAAAACAGGTGTTGTATAATGTTGTACAATGTCTATTGTACAACATCGGTGTGCATTACAGTTGTATAATGTACAATGTTGTATAACGGGTTTCTTTATTTTTAAGCATTAGTGCTTATAAAACCTGTTCTGGTCTTAATATACATAGCTACATATTGAGCATCCTTTATAGCTGCCTCTCAGGCCATGGTCAGATTGTTCATTGTTTTCCTGCCTTACCAATATAAAAGCTGGCATTTTCTTTGTACACATATGTTCCTAATTTTCCATTAAGATTACTGAGTTCTCCGTTCTGTGCTCAGACCTGATACTGCATTCACCATCCAGTCAAAGAAAGAGAGATCCTAGTGTACAACTGCTTTTCCCCTAATGCAGGAAATGGCCTAACAGCCCAATTTCTTGCCTTAATCTCTCACACCTTTAACAATGTGTGAAAAAATCCATGGTCAGAAGTTTATGTCCACAGAGGAGACAGAGGAGTTCTGTACCTTTTATTCTTGAACAAAGGGAGAGGCCATGGGGCATTTCCTGATGGGGTCTCTCAGGTTGTTGGAGGACTGCAGCCTGCTTTTTATCCTAATTTTCCCAGCTGCAGAACCTTTGCCCGTTCTCTACTGGCTGAGGTACTTGGGAGGTACAGACTTCCTGATCTGCCTGCTAAATGTGCCCCTTAATATGCTCCCCCCTGTAAAACATATGATACATGACCATTAAAATTAGCTTTAAGTCCACCCTGGCTGGGGAAGTTAATATTCATAACCCTATTAAGTCTTTGTTATTCTCAAAGTTCAGGAGTTGAGCATGACCTTGGCTAAGCAGCAATCCATGTCAATTAGTAACATTTTTTGAAAGTAATGGTTTGTCCTGTTACTTCCTTATCTACAAGTCTGGCCCTATCCGCAGGCAGGTTCACACAATCTGTTTGTAAAGACATATTAATCGTATTCCTGTCAACAATTCTGTGTTATCTGCTGATCAGCTGTTTACTTACACTCAGAATCCATGCTTTGCCTAGTGATTGGAATCCAGCCTACTGTGTTTTCTCTTTCTTGGGCATACTTCTGTTTTTGAACGTTCTGCAGATAATTTCAGGAAAGTTTTCTTGTATTCTTTAAGTTCTTCAAAATTTGCTGAACTGTGATGCTACTGGAAAAAAATTTCCTAGTGGTTAGCAGCAATGAAGGGCAGTGACACCCTTCTGACCCCAAATGCCCTTAGATAATTTTTTTGGTGTATTTTTTGTACTTGTTTACCTTTTTACTGGGACATCATCTGTCCCTTCTTGCACATCTTAACTTGTAAGCAGTTAAAATATAGTCTGTTTTTTCATGTTTCTCCCTTGAGAATTTGTGAACAGTAGATAAGCTCTAAATTTTGTTTGTTTTTAATTTAGTTTCATGTATATTTAGATGCATATTAATTTGACACAATTAATTTGACTCACTACATGCTAGTGTAGAAGTTAGCACATAATTTGGAACTTGAACTGATTCTAAAATACAAGGGTTCTGTATTTTGTTATTGCTGGTCATTATTTAAAATATTTGAGATTATATATTTTTTTTATTGAACTATTTTGAATTTTTTGTCCAGGTTATTACTAAACTCAAGATTTTAACACCACTAGAAATAATAATGTCAAACACTGCCTGTGATGCAGGGAATACAACAAAATTGTTTAGTCTGATAACGGAGCATTTCAAGGTAATATCTAAAATTTCATTTAATGTTTTTGAGTTCTTGTTGATCACTTTTATATGATGGCTGATTTAAGAGTTTTACACAACTTTCAAAATCTTAAGATTTTGTTTTCTATGATTTTCAGGTCTAATTTTAGAATGGTAGTGAATAAACTGAATGCAGCTCCCCTGCTGCTACTTCTAATACTGACAGTAACAGAGATAGGTATATTGCTGATGAAAGCTGAAAGTTTTGAATTTGTGGCATTGGGTAATACCAAACCTAGGAAAGATATAGAAATTAAAAAATCAAGCATTCTCCCTCATTCTCTCAGCCTGATAAATCAATGGGGCTGATGTATCATAGAATCAGGAAAAGAGCACTGTCAGGGTAAAAGAGGATAAAATGAACTAGTATAAGTAATTTATGCATATGAAAGCCTCAGAACCTTTAAAAAACCCTATTAATTACTACCTGAATTGCTTCATTGCTGCAGAGCTGATGGCTTCTTCATCAGTGTTCTTCTACTTCCTGGCCTCTCTCCCCTTTCTCTCACATAAATCACTTGTGCATCACACACCTCCAGTTACATTGACCTGCTTGTGCTAGTAAGCTAGAATGAATACTTCTATGAAGACAGATTGCAGAATCAATTGATAGATTTCTTGGAAGCATGTATCACTAGAAAAATACAGAAGTGTCTCTGATGTAACTTTTAAAACTATTTGCTTTCATCCCCATCTTCACAGAATGTGACTTTTACAACTGTTCAGAGAAAATACTTCAATGAAACAAAGGGTTTGGAGTACATAGAACAATTGTGTGCATCTGAATTTAGCACCATTTTCATGGAAGTCCAATCAAAGTATGTTTAAATAAGGAAAAGCATACTGTGTCCAGATAAGTTTTTAACAAAATCATTTTATGTATGTACTCATTACATATATCTGTGTCACGTTGCAAAGGTTAGAAAACTCTTAAAAGATCTTTTTATTTTGCCCTCCAGTACTTTTGATATATGTAGAAATGTAAATAGAAAGCCTGTTACATAGCCTGTTACAGCTTTCCACTTCATCTTCTTCATTCTTTTCTTAAAGATACCCTTCAAGAGCTAGCTGTGACTGCCTTTCTTTCTGGCCTCAGCAAGCATTTTCTATGTATCAACAATTTTAAGTGCTGATACTTGGTGACCAGGGTCTTCAAATCACATGTGTCTGTTGAAATATGTATGTTCACAATACCAGTGATATAGTGGAGGCTGTCAAGTGTACAGAGACTCAAACATTTATGAACATTTGATCTGTATGAATATATGTTCACTAGGTATGGGTTTGTATATTTGAAATATACTGCCTTTTCTCTGCTATTAATCACAGTAGTTGCCAAGCCACAGTAGTGTAAATGTTATTTCTGTAGTGCACTACTTTTGTGGTATTTCTGTAGCAGTATTCAACGTTCATAAAAGATTTTTTTTTCCAAGGTATTACTGTCTTGCAGCTGCAGCAGCTTTGCTAAAATATGTTGAATTTATCCAAAACGCCGTCTATGCTCCTAAATCACTAAAGGTTCGTTTCCAGGGGAGTGAGAAAACAGCTATGATAGATTCATCATCAGCACAAAATCTTGAACTAGTGATTAATAACAGAGATTCTCGGTAAGAATAGTTTTTTCAAGTTACATTTTTATAAAGATGGATTTCTCTAAGTTTCCTTGATGTTTGTGTCAAAGAGCTGACCATTATATTTATTTCTGTGTGAGAGAACTTGCATGCTATTCAGAACTTCTTAAAAAATATCTTGACAGAGAAATATGTTACAATTCGGCACAAAATTTCTAGCACAGGAAATCCTAAAGTGAATTGTAGAAAGAGATGATGCATAATCATCTTTACATTGATGTGTATGTTTTATTCAGACTTTAAAAATTTATTTATGCAAAATTTTACAGACTGGGAAATGAAAGAGGCAGTATTTCTGCAAGTTTCTTATGTTGGATTGAAACACCTATATTTTACTCATTTTACACAAGAGACATGCTTCAGCCTTGAAAGGTTGTTTTGTTTCCTTTTAGATATAATAGTGGGAAAGAGAGTAATTTCTATAATGAATGGGAATGTGCAATGTGGTACTTGGTTGCATGGTAGTTTTCCACATTGAGATCAATGCTTGGAGCACTTCCTTAATTGGCAGTTAGTTGCCGTGTAGGCAGAATAAACTTCAAGGCTTACCTTCTCCAGACTATTACACTTAAGGTTAACAAGAGAAATACCTGGAACTTGCGTTTTGCTGCCTGTCAGGTTCTGAGATTCTCCTCTGTTTAGATATCTTCTTAATCACCATGTTATAAAAAGGGTAGCCTGGAGATTCCTCACTCTCCAAGTACTGTTCATAAGAGCTTTCCCCTTGGGGAGATACAGTAGAACACAGAATGCCTTGCATAGGAAGGTACTTTAGGAGCAATATTTTTCTGAAAAAATACTTTTCTGTTCCTTATTTCACAGATGGTTTTGAGAGGAAAGTGGTTACAGGAGGAGCTGAGCAAACTGCTTTAAGTTTCTCTGGTTTGTTTTTTTTAGCATTATTGATGCAGAATTTTTGCTGATCCATTGGCAAGTTTGAATCAGCGAGACATAGCTATTTTTATTACATAGATCTTACCCCAAAGCCTGGTTAGATATCTTTGTATGAGGTATTAGCAGGTAAAAGTTAATAGCACAGGCGCACACCAGAAATACCTAAGTCAAATTTGGGTGCCAATCTGAATTCTGGAGGGACTTGTCCTCTTCATTTAACTGTGCAGGGAAATAAGTCCTCAACTGCATAAATACAGGCACTGTGGATACTCTCCCAAATATAGAGTTGCCCTTAAGTGTTGTCACGGGTTGTGTCATGCAGTAAATGCACCCTTGATACAACTGGGTTTGAATTTCCCCATTTTTAAAAAATTCTCTTGACTATTGCTTTGCTTTTTTATACCATGGTATTTCAGGGTGTTTCTGCACACTCTGTCTACCTACCTACCTACCGACCTACCTACCTCCCTCCCTATCTTACTACCTGCCTACCTATCTACCCTCTCTATCTTCATGGTACGTGTTTTGTGTATTTGTATCAGGCTTCTTCCTGTTCAAGTTCTGGTTTAAATCAAATGTTGTTATGGCCCCGGTATTTCATGGGTCATCTTCCAGCCAATAGCATAGAAGATTTCAGGTTTCTAAAACTATTTGACTGTGTAGTAGGTGTAAATATTATAGATGGCTTATTCTGTGTAAATGCAATCACCTTTAAGTATGAAACCCTGGGATATGTACCATGTAAAAGCCATAAAGCTGAAACTAATATGTAGAAATTATAAGCATTTTATTTAGCTCCTATATTGACTGAAATATGTTCTTTAAAATAATAAAAAATTATTTCTCTCTTTGATTTCTAAGTGTTTTAAATTATTTTCAGATATGTATTTCAAGTAAATTATTCCAATTAATATTTGATCTCTGATTATAACTTGATTATTATCTCTTGATAATTTGCCTCCTTGTATAGGGTTGGTTTGTTCATTTTAATTGGTCTAATTGAGAGGGAAAATGTGAACTTTACCACTGCAGTAGCAATGAAATACTACTACAAAATATGAATAAAATACCAAGTTCAAATGTATTTCTATACTTACATAATTGAGGGCTAATATTATATTAAATTACATTGAATTACCTAGCTTCCAAAACTGCTGGAGTTCATACAATACATGGCAAACAGGGAGATGCTAAGCATGCCAAAGCATGCCTCAGATTTGTAGGATAGTTTAGCCTATAAATGTCTCCTGACACTTACCATCTCTTTTTTTGGTCTGTGTATTCTTCACCTCTATTTTATTTCAAAGGAATGGTCACACACTTCTTGGTGTTCTAAATTACACTAAAACTCCTGGTGGAAGTCGGAGACTTAGATCCAATATCCTGGAACCTCTAGTTGATGCTGAAACAATTAACACAAGACTGGACTGCGTTCAGGAATTACTCCAGGATGAGGAGCTCTTTTTTGGTCTTCAAGGAGGTAGTAGTTTATATTGTAACAACTAATACTATATTTCTTTTTAGACATTGTTTTTCTAATATAGGAAAGTATGTAGTGTGACTCAGTATCTTTGAAAAGTATTTTTTAATGGTTTGTTAGGTGACACAGTAAGCACTTAAGTTTTTAAAGTAATCTATATTATCATAGCAATACTTTTCTCAAGTACGTTGATTAGAAAAGTTGAATTTCTCTGAAACAGTGTATAGAAGTCTGTGAGCCAATAGCTTTGTGAAAGAGTTGGAGTTTGTCTCTTTACCTCTATGGCTGGGTATGCATTATGTTTGATGTATACAAGTATATATAATGTATAAATGAAAAAGCAGACATATTGCTTAAGTAATACTTGCATATAAATATTCTTCCTGTTGGTTCATAAAACATATGATCCAGAGGAAGGCAAAATACAATACTAGAATTAGTCCACCTGAAACTGGATCATATAATCTTCATCTGTGTCCCAAGAGAAGCACAATTCAATCTAAGAAACAAAAAGTATTTCTGAATTGACATAATCACTGCATGCTTAGGTATAGTAAGTCGTAAGTATAGTTATGACAAAATAATTCAGATGTTAGCTATTTTAAAGCTAGTTTTTACCCTGTAAATAATTTGTGACAGTAGAATGTAAGAAAAAGATTAGCATTAGTATAGCTAATTAATTGTGTCCTTTCAAAGAAAATACATCTTATAATTTCAGTTTAATTTCTGATGTGTATACTTTTGTTTTACAGTTATCTCAAAATTCCTGGATACAGAACAACTACTTTCAGTTTTGGTACAGATTCCAAAGCAGGATACAGTATGTTTCAAAATACACCTTGGAAAAATCAATTATCTGTCCATAACATGCAATATATAAATGTGATGTCTATAATTCATCCTGATTTATGCAAATGTACTTCCAAAAATGTTTGCTCTTTCATCACTCCCCACCTTTATTCTTCATAAGTGTACATTTTATTCAACAGTACTCAGATGAGAGAGAGGAATTTTCTTCACATCAGCATAAATGGAAAAAGTGTTTAGTGACTTACAGTCTTAGTGACTGTTATGTCTAAGAGCGAGATGATTTTTTCATTAGGCCTTGCCTCATATATCGGTCTGCATGTTAACACACGTAATACAAATATCAAAATGGAATAAATACATGTAGTTCACCAGTGAATCTTGGTTGAGACTAGATTCAGCAGTTAACTACAGTGAGCTTGGGGTTACTGAACGTCAGCTCTGTTTCCACTAAGCATATTGAAACCATGGTGTTAAAAGTTACATTTGCCTAGTTGTACTTGAGTTGGATATGTCTGCCACTGCTTTTGAGCTTATATTTATGCTTGTGTGCCAGCATCTTAGATATTCTCAACTCTTTCACCATTCAGTGTCTTCTCACATGCTGATTTACCTCCTTAGAGAAAGGATTTGCCTAATTCTAGTTAAAGAAATCAGGTACAGACTCAAACAGGACAGTAGTAATAAATGCAGATAAATCTCTTTAATGACATAATCAAAACCCAGAATGTTTATTTTTCGCAGCTTTCCTTTAGTAATGTGTAACATGAATTCATGAGTTCTTCTTAATGAGTAAAACTGCCACACAGGATGCTTTTATGTATGCATAGGACCATGTACACCAAACATTTTTACTGCAGTGTTTTCACTGTTGACTGGTTCCAGTATAGCAGAGCATACTATGCACACAACAGACATGCTTATTCAAGTGCTAGTTCAGTTGCTTTTATCAAATGCTATATTAGGCTATTCACTATGTTTCATTCCTACTCTCCATAAAAATTTTCATTGTAAATCTTCCACCAGTCAGCAGATGAGATGCACATCTGAAAGGCTACAGTTTCAGTTACTAAGTATGTGAGTGGTATGTTCAGCATAAACATTCTTTTATCCTAAGGAGGCTGTCACTCACACAGAATCACAGAATTACCAGGTTGGAAGAGACCTTCAAGATCATCGACTTCAACCCATGCCCTAATATCTCAACCTAACCCTGGCACCTAGTGCCACATCCAGTCTTTTTTTAAACACATCCAGGGACGGTGACTCCACCACCTCCCCAGGCACTACTTTAAAAAATAGGTTGGGAAAGGTCAATTTTTTAAAAATTACTGCTCTCTCTCCAGGTTATGTCATGCGGTTACAAAGTAGTTAGGAAAAAGCATGAGTTTCTTGAGGGACTAAGTGTCTTTTTTGAAAAAAATTAATATTCATTGCATAAATAACATCTTGCACTTCAAGAAGACTCCAAGGCAGAAAAGCCTTAAACTTCAAAAACTGCTTGATCCAGTCTTGTTGAGATATGTGTTTGAAAAGTCAGGTCAATGGTAAAATAATTTACTGCCTTTGGATTGGAGTGTATCATGTGCAGAGATTCACTTGTAACCCTAGTTCAGTTAAAATTCCTGTAAAAACTAATTACTCAAAGATCCATTGCAGTACCACGTTTTTATATATGACCACATCAGTTCTTTTTCAGAAGAAAAAGATTCCTTCTTCCTTTCCCAGAAGGAATCATCTCTGATTCCTTCATGGGACTTAGAACACATACTTATTTGGAGATTAGCATTCTTTCATTCATGCATTTAGCACTGTTTAGTTTTGTCTTTACAAAAAAAACCTTTTATATGACTAAGTTACGAGGTGCCCTCAGCCACAAGAGTAAAGAGATATTACATATGAATGAGAAAAGATTTCACATGGGGTCATGCTCCTATGTTCATGCGTTTATCTACATTTATCTTTATATTTCCTTAAAATTCGTTTGCATAGTGTATGTGTACCGCATATGTTATACCCTAATGTCAGCAGCAAAATTCTTTATCGTGAGTGTTAGTGGGGCATACAAAACAAGGTCAAGGGCTTCTGTGAATGAAAGATTTTGAAGAACAGTCATTACTGCGAAAAAAAATTTTGAAGTATTTACTGGACTTTTTTTTTTTATCACATGATCAGATGTCTAAGATATATGTTTATTAACCAAAGACAAATCAGCCAAACTGGGTTATGTTGTGTTTAACAGCATTAATGGAAAAGGTTGTGAGCTTCATTATAATACATAATGTATTTGCTTTGAAAAAGTCTACAAATTGTGTAGAGCTTGTATAGAGTTAAGTATACATAGAAGAGTAAAAGTTTTCACAGCTTGGGCTAGCAGGGTATTCTTAGAGTCAGTCATTATCAGTTCAAACATAGGAAAATCTTAACTACTGATGGACAAACTATCACAGCAGGCACTGTAAAATTTAGGTAAACATTTTTTGTGCAGATGCAAAGTTGTCAAAGTGAGCTTATGAAGTGTTCAAGGAATTTTCATTAAATGTATAAGCCTCTTACTGTTAAGAATATGAGTTCTACTAGTTCTTAAGTACTTTTTAGAACAGTCATACAGATGCCTTCAATATTCAGAAAATTTTTCAACAGGTTAAAACTGCTGAATCAAAAATAACTAATTTAATCTACCTGAAGCATACCTTAGAACTTGTGGAACCTCTGAAAGTAAGTGACCTTTGGTTTTTTTGTTGTTGTTTTGGGGTTTATTTTTTGTTGTTGTTTGTCTTTGGTTTTTGTTTTTTAATAAAGTACAGACCATTTTTCCCTTACTTTTATGAAGTGCAGTTTATTAAATTTCATAGAGTATCTCAAGTTGGAAGGGATTGATAAAGTAAAAAAATAATATAATTACAGAACACAATACTGCCAACATACTGCCAACATTGATTCTTAACGCCAGTCGGAAATAGCATTTGTGTCTATGCTCTGAAGAGCAGGATTCCTACCATTACCTGAATAATGGATTATATACCAAACATTTAACTGAAACTCCTGCTCAGATTCCACAGACTATTTACAAAAATGCTGATTAGCCTCACTGAATCTAAAAACTTTCAGTCCTTTAAAAAGGCTGCAAAAAGAAGTAACTGTCATGTCCATGTTTTAATCTTCAACAGGCTGCTTTAAGAAGCTGTAACACACAGCTGCTAAAGGCTTATTACAATTCTCTTGAAGATACAAGGTATTTCTCATAATACTTAGCTACTTTGTTGGAAACTCTCATCTCAAAAGTGCCAGTAAGATAAAAGATGTTGCATCTTTGCCTATTTATAGTTAGGAGTATAGCTCAATTCTTTTGCTTAAAGCTGATTTTAATTATCAGAAAATCTTAATTTTCAGCTAATGAATACAGGGATAAAAGCAAGAGAGCTGGCTGTGATAGTGGAGTTGCTGCTAAACTAAACTCCCTTAGAAATAATTCTGAAAAGACAAGAGTATTGGTTTCCTAGAGTCTCCATAATAATGCAAAAATCAAGTGTTGTGTATTTGAAAAGAAATGTATATTTGAGAAATAATTTATATCTCCCAAAGATGTGAATAGTATTTTTATTTTTATTCAGACTTCGGTATAGTCACGATTCATTCTGAGGTGAAAATAGAAATGTAATGTAGTGTTTTGTTTTAACAGTAGAAAATTTAAAAGTAGCTTCACTTACTTGTAATACTGCTACTTGTAATTTGGGGATGGTACCGCAAGTAAAAATCATAAAGTATTATGTATCTAATTAGTGATACAACTAATATTGCAGATTTGGAATTATACTTGAAAAGATTACAAGTGTAATTAATGATGATACAAGATACACAAAAGGATGTCTGAGTATGAGGACCCAGAAGTGCTATGCTATTAAGCCTAACATCAATGAATTCCTTGACATAGCTCGTAGAACATACACAGAAATTGTTGATGACATAGCAGGTATTTCTAAACTAAAATTTGTATTTATTTGGAGTTTAAAGTAGATTGCACTTGACATATAGAAGCCATGTAATTTTATGTGTTATAATCTCATATGTAAAAAGTATTTAGTATTCGTCTGGATGGATTGTCATTGATAAGCAACCGAGATTCTCCATTTCTGGATAATACCTCAGTTTTATCTTAATAAAATTGAACAATTATATGGTGATTCCTGTATTCAAAGCTCTGCTAGTCCTTGTTCTCTTAAAGTGCAAAAAAGTTGAAGTAATGGAACAGAATTACTCCATCTAAAACATTCTGCATAAAACATGTAAATCTTTGGTTTAGTTTCTTCATTTAAAGTATCTGTGTTCTATGTTCTTTGTATTTAAGCAGTCTTGATCTATCTGTGGACTACCTTTTAGCTAAGGTATTAAGAGTTGGAAAATATGAACAAAAGGAGTTTTAGCATGATGTGCATTACTGTGTTTTACTAACCTTCCTGTTTATCATTATGTCAAAATAGAAGAAAAAAGTTTTGTCTGAAACGGATTTCCTTTTTTTTAGTTTAAATTACTGATTTCTAGAAAGGACCATCTTAGTTTAGTCTATAGTCGGAAACCTTAAAGAGCATCAGAAACTTTAGCACCTGTCATATGTCATGAAGTTCCTGTTTTATTCTAATCCTATATTCATACATAGTGAAAAATACAGATGGTACTGGTTTTGTATTTCTGAAACCTTCCATTAGCAGTTTCCATCTTTGTACCACCACAAGGAGGAGAGGGAGAGGCATGTACCTGAATGTATCTAATTTGGGTTAAATCTTTATATGTGGTATGTAGGTATGATAACGCAACTGGCGGAAAAGTACAGCCTGCCCATGAAAACAAGTTTCAGCTCTGCTCGTGGATTTTTTATCCAGATGAATGCTGATTGTTCAACATTACCTAATGGCCAGCTTCCTTCAGAATTTACAAAGGTATCTGTACAAAATATATTTTAGCATAATATATTTACTTTATTTACTACACTTTGTTTGCTTTTTATAATATATCATTAAACTGTACATTATGCAGTAAATAACAATAAAAATAATTTCACTGAAGATATTTAGAAGTAAATTAAGTTTTAATTGGGATCTTTTTATAACTACCCTATATTCAGTTATATAATCAAAAATGTGCAAGTACATGCAATTATGTTTTGTGCAAGAATAAAGCTATATATCTTGCTAATTGTTATCTTAAATGGAATTTTCATAAAAAATTATGTCGTAAAAATGAAACTGGACATTGTTTTTTCTCTTTTGTTTCCCCATATGGTTCCCAATTCTGGTTTTAGAAGCTGTTTTTCTTACTGATAATGAGGCAAGCTCTTACTGTTGGTTTCAATTCCCTGTAGATCACGAAAATGAAAAACACATACAGCTTCACTTCAGCAGATTTAATAAAAATGAATGAAAGATGTCAGGAGTCCCTGAGAGAAATATATCACATGACCTACTTGTAAGACCTCTTAAAACTATTATATAAATAGACTTATTTGTATAAATATACTTATTTAATAAATATCCTATATTTTTTAATAAATAAATATACTTTGCTAAGTATATTTGTTTTCTCCAATTATCTACACACAGGCTTTTAAAGCTCTCTTTCTGTTAAATTATGGCTACTTACAGCCATATTCTAAAGCAACACTGTTCAACTGTACCTCCTGAGACAAAAAACCCCCCATAAATCATGTCTTGTATTAAACATGTTTGCAAATATATTGGCATTTATTAATAGAAGTGGTCATCATGTAAATTTTTAACGGATTAATTACCTGCACAAAATGGCACAATTAATGCATTAGTTTTGGATTTGTAATGCAGAATTGGTACTTTTAGTCAGTTCCTTATATTTAGAGCAGAACTGTCTATTTCTGTATCTTGTCCTTGCTGCATGTCATGGTGCTCTCCTCTGATTCACAAGTTAGTACGTGTAATGTTACCTGTCAGTTGAATGGAAATTCTTTCTAGCAACCATGTAGGGTTTTTTTAACATGAAGATCTAAGGGAATTAGAGTCACATTTCCCATGTTAGTAAAACATACTTGATTCCATAGCTGTGTTTTTAGTTCATTCTCTGTGTAAAGCTTTCATGTGAGCTGTTGGTATTTGAGATGTGTGTCTTACGTCTGATCAGCAGAATGTTAGCTTTAGATGATGGTACAAGATCTTAATTTACTTCCAAGAAATTTATACATTTGTTCACATCTGGTATACATGATTGCATTTTATGAGTGACCTTTTATCCTAAGATATGCAGCATGGACATTATGAATCCTTTATTTTTGTAAGTTGTATAAAGTGACAGATGTGCCGTGCAACAGCTGAATCCGTGTCTTATTTCAGAATAGTGTGTAAACTACTGAATGAGATCTATGAACACATTCATTGCTTATACAAGCTGTCCGACATTGTGTCTATGCTGGATATGCTGCTTTCATTTGCCCACGCCTGCACTCTTTCCGATTATGGTAAGTTTCTTCCTTGATTCTGTTATGGGTTAGATAAAGACCCTTCTGATGGAGAATAACCAGACTATTTTGTTTGGTTCCATTCTTTTTCTGTCTCAGTAGTCCTTAGGTGGGTGTCTCTGCTCTGTCTTTGCCAGTTTCATGCTGATCTTCTTTCTGCTTCCATTCATCGAAATTAAATTCTGCTAGTTAGCTGCCATAAGCCTTCCCAGTCACTCTTCTCGAAATAGACAGTTTAAGGATATTCCACTCAAAAGCATGAAGTGTATGGATGCTCTCTGTTTATGCCTTTTTCTGTTCCATTAATGCTGGTAGATAAAGGAGCCATGTGTAATTAGTTCAGAAAAGAACTGTATTCTGACAGAAATCCATAGAGATAGTTCCAGCATCAAATGGATCTTTGTAGGCATGGTACATTTCCAAATAATCAGTATGGTAACATATAACAAAAATAGAAGGAATGCTACTTTCCTGTTTAGCATGCAAATACAGAGTACATATCTAGAAGTAACAGGAGTCCACGACCCTTGTACTTTACAAAAATACTTCAGCTCTTTGCATTTTTATTACTGGAGTTCAGCCCTACTCACTAGGGAGCAAAACCACAGAACATTAATTTAGAAATAATTTTTCAGTCATGGGTTTCTTTTTATAGTCATAAGTCATGAAGGCTTGCATGGTAATGAGAATCTGTACCTGAAAGTGGCTGGTAATTCTTCCCAAGAGCTCTGCTCTGGAAGAATTAACTTTATTTCAAAACATACTAGCTTAGTAATGTAAAGGTTCCCACACTAACTCCTCAGTGTTTTACATCTTTTTTCTTCATTTAGTTCGTCCAGAATTTACTGATACTTTAGCAATCAAGCAAGGATGGCATCCCATTCTTGAAAAGATAGCTATGGAAAAACCTGTGTCTAACAACACGTACCTGACAGAGGGCAACAATTTTGTCATTATTACAGGACCAAATATGAGTGGAAAATCAACATACCTGAAACAGATTGCTCTCTGTCAAATTATGGCACAGATTGGTGAGTAAGAGTGTACAGTATTAATCAACTTCTGCAGCACATTTTTTTCTGGTTAAAATTATTTATAAAAGTTGAATGATTTAGCTTCCAGAATAACATTATATCTAAATAAAATATTAACAGGTAATTTGTAGAATATTTTCCTCTACCAGCTCTTGCATTGCTTACAGAGGCAACTATAAGGTTTTTCATCTGCCGCTGGAAACATATGGGGCCCCATCTGTGTGTCTTGAAGCCTCCCCAGTCTGTCTTCTGAGAAGCACAATTGCATGCCCTAATTCTTTGGAGCACCCTAATCCAATCTAGCACCTTCTGCTAGATTGATAGTGAATGTCCTTCAAGTATGCTGATCAGACACGTGTTAGTCATCCAAAAGAAACACATGACTTTGAGCATACTTAAATTCCAAAGAGAAACATGTTTCCAGACAAGTACAATTAGTAGATAAATAATCAACTACTTCAAATAAAAGTAGTAACAAATATTGCAAGGTTCTGTTACTAAAGTTATAAAAGGAAACCAACTATTCGTAATATCTAACTGAGATTCGTTCCCTTATTCAGGAATTCCTCATGACTTTTTTCTTAAAAGTAAGTCTGGTAGCACATGTTCAAGACCTAACTCTATAGAATGAAGCTACTTAGTAATGGAGAATAAAATTTATCCATCACACTTTTGTGGGTTCAGTCCCCAATAACTGCAAGTTCTTGAGGAATTGCTCTCAAAACTGTGAGTTTAATATGAATAAAGCAGACTGTGAAGTTTTTGGCAGAAGGTTCCTGTTTTTTCCTGTTCAGTAAAACTGCTGTGCTTTGAAGTCTGATAAAGGCAACATCATCTTGATTTTGGGAAACTAACATTTCTTAGGATTAGTAAATCAGTGGCCACAGAAATGTAAAACAATCCTAGAGTTCTGCATCCCTTTAGACTGACAAACAGCTTCAGGCATATGATTTCTTACAAGTTTCACTGATAAGCTTCCTAATTAACCTATCTATGTAATAACTTTTTTCTTATGAATTAATGGTAGAACATAATTTAAAAAACTTTATCAAGTAAGATGCTTTCTCTGCTGTGCACAAAAACCAAGTGTAATTTTTTTTCCCAGTGACATATTCAGGCAAATGTTTTAGTGATGAGAGAAACTTGTATCTTACTTACTTTGTAGGTTCTTATGTCCCAGCAGAGTATGGTTCTTTTCGAATTGCAGAGCAGATTTTTACCAGAATAGGTATGGATGATGATATTGAAACAAATGCATCAACATTCATGAAGGAAATGAATGAGGTATGAAATACAACTATCCAGGTCCAAGGCCCATTTTTACTGTTAAGCTAATAGAAATTGTACTGGTCTATTTCCACTGAAAGAGTCTACTTTGAAAAACAGTAAAAAATTCAGCCTTCCTCTCTTTTATGATAAACCATAGAAAACTAGGCATCTCTTAAATAGAAAGATATTCCAGTGTGAATAAAAATCGGTGCTGTGTTGGATAGTACTTTCAATATTTTTGGGTCAGCTTAGATGTTAAATTATTGTTTGTTGGGGCCTAAGCTCTCTCAGTTTCCTCTCACAAACTGATATCATTTTGAGGGTAAGTGATATGTTCAGCAAAAAAGAGAAAGAATGCTGTAGTGTGACTCTGCTTGATTAGAATTGATAGCTGTTTGAAAGCTTTGAGAAGGTAAAATTGCTGTATCTCAAGAGATTTTTTTTTTTAATTTCTGCATTATGTTCCATCTGAATAACATAAAAAATTCCTTTTTAAAGATTCACATTTATAGGAATGATAACACTTTGAATATTTTTCTAGGTAACATACATCATACAAAATGCTAATGATAAGTCACTCATCATTATTGATGAACTTGGCAGAGGTACCAGTGCTGAAGAAGGTATTGGAATTTGTTATGCTGCTTGTGAATATCTGTTGAACTTAAAGGTAATTCTGTTTTAAAGGAATTTAAGCCTTGGAATTGTTTTGTCATCCTGAAAGTAAATACAGTATTTTCTCATAATTTAACAACAGTTTTGCAAAGATTTCTTGGCTAGATATGGTGTTTTGCATAACCAGTGAATAGTAAGATTTGCAATAATAGAGGAAACATGCTGACATAAGCTGCAGTTCTGCTCACTGGTTGTTGTGATTTAACCCCAGTCAGTTGCTAAACACCACGCAGCTGCTCGCTTGCTCTCAAGCAAGAGCCCAAGCCCAAGGACTTGTGGGCTGAGATAAAGATGGTTTAGTAAGTAAGGAAAGTCATATGCAGAAGCAAAATAAGAATTAATTCACTGCTTCCTATTGGCAGGCAGATGTTCAGTCGTTTCCTGCCTAGGAATGCCGTTTCCTCACAGTGACTGTTACCAGAACGGCAAATGTCCCTCCTTCCTCACAGTTCTTGTTGTGGTGGTGTAGTATGGTGTGAGATATCCCTGGGGTGAGTTTGGGTCAGCCATGCTGGCTGTGTCCCCCTACAGCTCCATGAACACCCCATAGCCTGCTTGCTCGTGGGACAGGGTGGGGAGCAGAACAGCCCTTGGTGCTGTGCAAACGCTGCTCTGCAGTAGCTAAAACATGGGTGAGTTATTAGTACTGTCTTGGTCACAAATCCAAAGCAGCCCAACACAAACTACTATGAAGAAAACTAGCTCTAGTCCATTTAAAACCAGAACACCGGTACCCATATCTTTTCAGCTTGCTTGCAACCTTGTAACTTTGTCTAGAAAGAGAATAACCCATTCTGTTTAGTTTTTCTTATTTAGTTTAGTTTTAGTTTTGCTTTATGCCTTAATGTTAAAAGCGAACCTCTTTACCTGGTGGCTACCTTTCAAAGTACAGTGGTAGTTCCACACAACTTATGAATTGGTCACAGAGGTTAGAAACTTGTTTCGAAAAGTGGCAGGTAATTTTAGATGGTTTGCAAGTTTCACCTCTGTTGCTAGTTATGTGATCAGTCTCAGGGGGCTGTTATGAATCTTTTCAGTGTGCAGGTGTTTGTTTCTCTTCAGAGTTTATTCAGAGTACTTTTGAGGGGGTTTTGGTTTGAAAAGCTCAGATACTTTCTGTCACTTGTACTTTTGATAAAGAATTCATTGAGAGAATTAAGCAACCATTTGACAGTCATTCCAGTCCACACCAGTCAGATTTTGTAAGCATAGTGGATTCTTCTTTGTTTCTGATATTGTTTTCCTTCTTTTGAGAAATGAGCAGAAGAATTCTCAGTTGGAAAAGATGTACTTGCCAGTGCTAGAACGCATCCCTTAAGGATTTTTGTTTGCTTTAGTAGTGTAAAGACAGCTTTTCAGTGTTTTGGAGGAAAACCTGGACATCTGTGAGATTATTTAATTTTTCTTATTTATTTTAATTTATTTCTGGATCATTGCCAAAATAAATTTTCTTTCTTGTTTCCTTATTTAGGCATTTACACTGTTTGCTACGCATTTCCTGGAACTATGTCATATAGACGCTTTATATCCCAATGTGGAAAACTACCATTTTGAAGTGCAGCATGTGAGAAGCAGTGCTGGAAATAAGGAGAAAATTGCTTACACTTACACACTTTCTAAAGGATACACAGAGGAAAAGAACTACGGTAAGGGATTCCACTGTGACTTACAGTTAGCAAAAGTTACACAAGATACTATTTCAGTTATTAGGCATCGAACAGTGTTTTTTCTGATGACAGGTTTCTCTTGAGTTTGTGTCTCTCTCAAAGAGAGAGATAGAGAGATAAGCAGGTCTATAATTTGTTCCAAATAATTACGTGTTTTAGGTAACCACATAGTGAGATAGCTGTTTTGGGTAGTATGAAGAACTTACACGATATTTTGTAGTGAAAAAAAATCTTACTGATGTCTTACTGATGCTGGTATCTCCTTGATTCATGTCTGTTTGAATGAGTTGAGTCATTCTGAGCATATGCTACTTGAGTTCATTTTATCTGCACTTATGGAAGTGAAATGAATGTATGTATGGCAGACACATCTTTAAGTTCTGTAGTGATATGACTGGTTAACAGCAGGTTGACCCTTTTTGATTAGCAAAAAGGAATCAAGTTTCTTTAAAAAAGGAGAGGAACTTTACAGGATATTAGGCTAAGACAATTTTGAGAGGGTCTACAAAAGCATCAGTGTTCTCTGAAAAGTGGATTTACTTATCTTTTAACTTCAGAATAAATTAAAGTATAGATTGTACAGATTGATTAATTATGGGTCAAGAGTGAATGACAAAGATTTAAAGAAATCTGTATGTTTCCAAATACTAGATTTGGATGTTGATTGCCTGATTTAGGTAACATTTGAGCAAGAGGAAATTAGCTACACGTTGCAAACTACCAATTGCAAGCTATTGGTAACTGAAGACTAGAAATTATTCCAGCTAAGCTTCAAGTAACAGGACTTAAACTGACCTTGATCGGAATTTCAGAATAAGTCTGTTTAACTTCAGCAGCACAAGCTCAATTTTAGATGCTACACCAACACTAACTCCACTGAATTGTATGTTTAGAGAGTAATTTCTGAGAACAGGAGACCTTTAGAAACTCAGTATTCATGTCTTGGCTTTACCTTACTTTGAGTAAAGTCACATTCTAAGAAAGGATGCAAGGGCTCTTCATGACCCTTTTTCATTTTTAAACCTGTAGTATTAAACCACCCAATGAACCACAGATTTTCCAGGGGTACAGATAAAGGAAGAAGTTAAAAAATCATGTTAGGGCAGGAAAAAAAATCTACATCTCTTTCTTACCGTCAGTATCTGGAAGTGTGCCTGTTGGCAACAAAGAAGTTGAAAAATGACATCCCTGTTCACTGGATGTCTGGATATAATTGAGAGTGCAGTTAGCAAAACCTCTGTATTTTCTGCCAAATTAAAAAACCTGAACCGAGAAAGCTGTTAACACCATGGTGCCTTTTTTTTCCTTTTTACCCCCTAATATGTCTCATTCTACCCATTTACGGTATTACTGGCAGTAGCTTGATGTTGAGGTGTGTTTCAGAGATAGCATTAAAACAAAGTAGACGTTTAATGAAATTATTTTAATAAAAATTAAAATTAAATCTTTACCCCTTAGTAAAACAGGCTAAGTTAATTCTGGAAGGTGTAAAATGGAAGGTAGGGATAAAAATTATATTAAAAAATCCTGATTTGTGTTTCATATGTTTAGGACTAAAAGCTGCAGAAGTGTCCTCCCTACCATCATCCATAATTTTGGATGCAAAGGAAATCACAAGTCACATTGCAAAACAAATTTTGGTATGTAGTAGAAAATTATAATGCTGTATTTCACAGTTTTTATACTACTCAAATGTATTTTCAGTTTCTGAAAGGTTACAGGATAAGTGCTGCCTATGTTTTAATGAAAATAGATTTCATTAAACTTTGTATTTCTGGAGCCAGTTCTTAAAGATTATACTGAAGGTCACTGTTACCTGACAACTCCTTTGGGTAAAGGAGTATTGGTGTAACGTTTGTATGCAAACCAAGAATTGGGAGATCAAAAACAGGCTAGAAAATAGCTAATACTAGTGTTTGGTTTTTTTTAATAGAACATAATTTCGTGTTTTAATGTATGTATATTTTTAAGAACAGCACAGACAGAAGAGCACTCCTGAGATGATGAAACAGAGAGCTGCATACCAGTTAGCAATGAGATTGGTTCAGACTGCCAGAAATTCTCGACTGGACCCTGACAGTTTGCGTGTATATTTGAAAGCCCTGAAGAAAAAGTATGAAGCCAGTTGTCCCACACCCAGAGAAAATGATGAGCAACAGTAACATGTAACATAGGCTGTTCTAATTTTTATGACTGCAAGATGATACTGGTTTTTCCCACAGTATTAGTAGTCTTTTCACATGGTGTTATATTTTTAATTATTAGTCTAAATTACATTCAAGTAATGGAGGACCATATCCTTTATGGGTTTCCCCCACCCTGACATACCTAGAATAAAAGCATTTGCCCTCTCTGAGGAACACAATTCTTTTTGACAAATAATACAAATCATTTTAGAGCAGCACTGAGAGGGAAGGACTGGGGCAACTCTAAGGAACTCAGAATTTCAGGTGTGATACAAAAGAAAGCTCAGATTGCAAAAAGGGAAACGTGTGCCCAGATTGCTTCAGAGCAGTTTTGCTGTCTGTTCTTTTTCAGTTGTGTCTTCTGAAAATGAGACCATTTTATTCACTTTTCTGTGCTAAACACTTCTCACAGTGCCAGGAAACATGATACTAAAACTTGAAGGAATTTGGATGTGTAAAAACAAGCTGTTCTCTCTTCTCCAGAGCAAGGTGTTTGGTGTTAGTTGGCAGTAAAGGATCCAGTTTTTCTCATACTCCTCTTGCTCAGTCTCCAAGTCACTGCAGGATTTCCAAAGACCCTGCAATGGAGAAGCCTCTCATCATGTTCCTTCTGATCACACAGAGATACTGGGAGGGGAAGAGAATGGATAAAGGTGAAATTTCTCTATGAAAAGGCTCAGAGATCAGGGTGTTCACTGGTGGCATGGGCTGGGTGTTTTGTTTGGTTGGGATTTTTTTGTTTTTTTGGGTTTTTTGGTCAATTTCATCCTACACCCCGTTCTTTCTTCCTCTGTCCTCTCCACTCTCACTTCCTGTTTCTGCCTCTTGCCTGTGACAGCGAGGCTGGGGAGGAACTTCAGCCCTTCTGGAGGTTGCCCCCTCTTTCTTGTTGCAGCAGAGTCCCTTTCTGGGGGGATGTACACGTGGAAAGGGCTTGAAAGAAGTGCTGCACTGCTGTCCAGGGCACTTTGACTCGTTCTGTGCCTTCTTTGGGGGTAAGGAAAAGGGGGTGAAGACTCGGAGCTCTGGTGTCATTTAGGGCACCCCAATGTCCCTAGGAGAGGGAGCCACACTGCAGTGGAAGAGCAGGTGAGTGGGGAACAAGGTGGGGGGGGGGGGGGGGGGTCAAGCTGAGTTGCCCTCCCCCAGAGGGACGCAAAGCTGCTAGAAATTTCACAAGGAGGAGTGGGTGTAGAATGCTAAAACCTGTCAAGTTTTTCATTTTTATAGGTATTGGCAAATAATAGGAATTTATCTCTAAATTCATTTGGAAAGAAACCCTCTCTCTATCCACTCATTTGTATACAGGAAACTCTGACTAGAGATGGGTAGTAGTTTTGAAAATGAAGACATAACGTTTTTATCTAGGAATGAACCGATCAAGTGCCCTGAACCCGAAAGAACAGCTGCAGGGGCTGAAGGGAATGGAGAGGGCTCTCTGGCACCTTTTGCCTCCGTTCTCTGTCTGCCCCTAAAGGCCTGAGCTCGGCGGTACTGCTGCCGCCTTGTGGACAGAGAGCGGTACTGCCCCCCCCGACCCAGCGCGTTTTCCTTTCAGTTGTAAAACCGCAAACATCGCAATATTCCTCTGACACCAGCGGTTCTAGGAAGTAGAGCTGTAAGTGGCCTTGGCCTCCCTTAGGCCGTCATGTCAACATACTCTGAAACATTAGGGTGGAAGTTATTCTACCTCTTGAACAGAGGTATCTTTTCCCTACAGGTGCTTGTGCCATAGTTTGGATTCTGTTTCCTAACATTTCTAGTGTGACAGAGTTTACCATAGAGACAATCTGCTCGGAGGTAACACTTTGGGGGGCATGGCAGTCCTGGGTGTGTATTCTGAACTCCTTCCAAATGTTACGTTTGAAGTATTTCTTAGGAAAACAGCACTACCTGATAACGCTGATAAGAGTCGATAAATCCTTCCTGGATGCTTAAGCTCTGTTTTTGTCACTGTTATCTTATCACTTAGTAGGGGCAGTCCGCAGATAAAAGAAACAGAATAATTGCTTTACACCATTCTCTGAGTTAGTTACATAGAAGTATTGTAGTTTCTATTTTAACATTTTGCTAAAGCCTACGATATATTTATCACACTACTACTCATATGAAATACACAGTGCATACATAAACTGGCATATTACACTATACAAAGCAGTTAAAATAAGTACAAGTTGTACCGTATCAAAATACTTGTGATGCAAAAAGCTAATCTATGAATGGGAAAGCCAATATTGTTTTATCGTCTACAACACCCGACCACTGTGGGGGAGGAGGGTGAGCAGCGGGCCCGCAGCGGGCGGAGGGCAGGCAGGGGGACGCGGGCACGTAACTTCGGACAGGAAGCTGATCTCCGCCAGTCGGGGCAGGCCAAGTTCCCGCAGAAGCAGAAGCACTGCGGCAGAAGAGGCGCCCAGAGCCCGCAGAGGGCTCTGCACGCCCTCCCCACTCCCCGCTGCCGAGCCCCCTCCTCACCATGTCACCGCCGCTCCCTAGGCCGTGTTGCTGTCGCAGAGACCGCCTTTGCGACCCGGAACCACTCCCGGGCTACACTCCTCTCCGCCCCCTGCCCCGAGTGCCGATGGGGCGCTCGGGGAGGGGCTCTGCGGGGGTCTTTTCGCCGGGACCTGGGCACGAGAGAGGGCCGGAGAAGGGGACGTGGGGGGTCACGCGAGTCGGACCCACGGCGCCCGCGGACCCTTCGGGCAGCCCAGGCTCCGCCCCACGCTCCCACGGGCCGCAGCCTGACGGCTCCCAAGCCTGCCAATCACGGCCCGCCTTTCTCCGCCCGCCCTGTCCAATCACAGCCGCCCTTTCAATCCGGGCGCCGTCCCGCCAATCTCAGCCCGCTCAGTCGCGGCCCGGCCCCTCAGCCTGGCCCCACTCCCCCGTACGCCTGAGGCGCCGCTCCCGCCACCGCCGCTTTGGGAGCCGGCGGAGCTGTGTTCCCGCTGCCGCTGCCTCGGCAGGCGCTGTTGGGGTCGGGAAGGGCGGCCGGGAGCTTCCAGTTCAGGTCCTGGTCGGGATCAGGTTCTGGTCCAGGGAAACGGGCAGACGGCGGGGAGGGGGCGGACGCGGCCCCTGCAATGGCGGCGGTAGGAGCAGCGCTTGAGGGGACTGCGGGAGGTCGCGGAGCCGAGCGCGGCGGGAATGGGCGGGCTGGGATTGGTGGGGCCGGCAGGCGCTGCCTCGGGTTGTGATTGGCTGGCTGGTCCGGCCCTGGGGCATAAATAGCGTGCGTTGAGACAGCGCAGGCGTCAGTTCGGCGGCGGAGCTGGAGCGACGGGAGCTGTGGCGGCGCGATCTGAGGAGCGGCGACGGGAGCTGCGGATGCGCGATCTGAGGAGCGGCGCTGCGCCAGGACGGGACCCCAGTGGCTGCTGATCGGGGGAGCGCTGGTGAGCACGGACGCGACGCCTGCGGCAGCATCTGGGAGCCGGTCGTGTCCAGTTCTTTCTGCCGCGCCCTGCGCGGCTCGGGTAGCTGGCGGCTGGTGTGCGGCCTGGAGTGGCGCGGGGGGGGAACCGGGTGTTGTCACTGGGGGCCGGGAAGAAGCCGTTTCGCGGTTTCTGGATTTAAAGTATTGTTCAGAATACGAGGAATAAAGCTTGCTTTTTTTGCATTTTTATTACTTTATTTTGTTTCTACTTAGAATGATTTTTTTTCGTTATTGTGTTACTTTATTATTGCTTGTTTTATTACATCTTTTTGGTTTGATTTGTTTACTAGATATCTGATGTTAATTCAGTAAGGGTTGTGGGACTGGGGCTGAAACACCAGTTGTGAGATCAGTGGGGACATAAAACCCCAGGGTGTGGAATAATGATGTTGACATGAGTCTGGCCCAAAACAATGTGGAGCGGTGGAAATGCTGGGGCTAGAAAAATGCCATGGGAGAAGGGCACGGAGCTGCAGCACAGGGCCTGCAGGACATGCAGCACAGGGCCTGCAGGACATGCCTGGGGGGTTCCCAGCTGCTGCCCCGTGGCATCAAGCAGGGACTGCGGGTGTGGGGGCTCAGAGGGGTTCCAGGGCCCAAGAACCAGCCCAAGGGTGCCTTTTGGGATGGGGGAGTAGAAGCCCGGTGGCTATTCCCAGCCCCTGGAGCTGCCCGAGGAGATGAGGGGGTCTTTGTGCAGGTGCTGGGCTGAGAGCCAGAGTGAGGGAGAAGGTAGATGTTACGCTTCAGGCCTCAAGTGTCCCCAAAGTTGGGATCCCGCTGGGGTGGGTGGGTGGGACAGCTTCTAGAGACATTGAAATGATGGCAGTAACTGATTTGTGACCTTATCAACAGCCCCAAGTTGCAGTGAGAAGCAGGAGCAGCTTTTAGCTACAGCCAGTAGGAAGCTGAGGAGCTGGAGCTGAGGCAGCAGAGCTGGAGGAGACAGAAATATGGTAGGGTTTGGAGTAAAACCCCTGTGGGGCTGGGAATAAGGAATGTGGAGCTGGGAGGTGAACTGCAGGGTTGGAGCTGAAATTGCTGTTAAGAGCTGCCATCTGAGCTCAAACCACAGAGCTAGAGCTAAAGTAAAGATCCTGCCCTAAGAAGCAGTACTAGCATTATGTGGCACTGCTGTGAAGATGTTGAGCAGGAAGTGGAACAGAAGAGCTGGCAGTGAAATAAAGCATGTGGGACTGGAGCTGAAATCACTGGGGCCAGGGTGGGGACTGCAGTGCTGCAGCATCAATCACTGCTCAAAGGGATACTCACTGTAGATCTGAAGAATAACCATAGAATGAGACACACAAACGAAAAAACTGGAAATAGAATGACAACTGCCAGAATGGGGTGAGAATGGTGATATGAAATGAATGAATGAATGTGGACATGAAATCTCACAACTGCAGCCAAAGCCAAAACCCTGTTGTCTTAACCTGAGAGCAGCTTTGCCTGTCAGAGCTGGAGAAAAGTGCCAGCTAGGGGGGAGACAGCTGGCAGTGAAATACAGCTTGTGGGTCAACAGCTGAAATCACTGGGGCTGGGAAAGGGGAACGGTGGGGTTGGGATTGAGACTGCACACAGGATGGAAACTGAGGGCGGACATGGAGACTGTATGATTTATGTGACAAACTCATTGCAGGCCTGTGATATGGATGTAGAAGCCTGGTATTGTGACTGAAAGTAGAGCAGGAATTGTGCAGTAGGGAAAGAGGGCTGCAGCCATGCGCCGCAAAACCCGTAGATGCCATGATATTTCCTAGATCAGTGATTGCATCTCTCGTGAACGAGCTGAAATAACTGTGGCGCTGGGATTGTGGTTGAAAATGGATAAGAAACTGTAGGGCTGAGAACAGGGCTGTGGGCATGGAGGTGAGCTTACATAGGGGATGGCACAGAGACTTTAGTGTTCTTGCAACGAAATCACTGTAGGCCTGTGGCATGTATGCAGGGGCTGGGGATTGTGACTGAAAGGAAAACAGGATGTGTGGTGGGGAAAAGGGGGCTGCAACCTTGCACCTGAAAACCGAGTCGATGATAGGTGGTTGCCTGGGCTTGTGATAGCACCTCTTGGGGTTGAGGTGACATCACTGTGGGGCTGGGAGAAGGACTGCAGGGCTGGGACTTTGAATGAGAATGGAAAAGGTACTAGACATGTGAATGGGGCTGTAGGCATCAGGGTGAACTTATGCAGGGGCTGGCACAGTGACTCGGGATTGTTGGATGGAAGCAAAAATCACTGCTGGGCTGTAATATTGCTGGTGGCGTTGGCTTAGAGAGCCTTGGGCGGGAGCTGAATTGTTGCCGAGCTGGAGCCAAAACCAAGATGCTGCCCTTTGAAGCTGAAGAACCACAGAGCTGGAGCTGGCAGTAAAATAAAGCTTGTGGGTCAAGAGTTGAAGTCACTGGGCCTGGAGCTGTCATTGCGCATCTGGGATCGGGGCTGAACAGGGCATAGGAACCATAGGGCTGGCACAGAGACTTTAGCGTTCTTGTGCTGAAATCACTGTAGGCCTGTGACATGCATGCAGGGGCTCGGTGTTGTGACTGAAAGTGGAACAGGATGTGTGGTAGGAACCAGGGGGCTTCAACCTTATGCCTGAAAACCCTGTCGATGATAGAATATTGCCTGGGCTTTTGATGGCACCACTTGGGGTTGAGCTGAAATCACTGTGGGGCCGGAAAGTTGACTGTGGGGCTGGGACTTTGAATGAGATTGGAAAAGGTACTGGACATGTGAATGGGGCTGTGGGCATGGAGGTGAACTTATGCAGAGGCTGGCACCAAGACTGGGGATTGTTGGGTGGGAGCTAAAATCACTGCAGGGCTGTCATATAGCAGGTGAGGTGGGCTTAGAGTGCCTCGGGTGGAAGCTGAATTATTGCTGAGCTGGAGCCGTGACAGAGACACTGACCTTTGAAGCTGGAGAACCAGAGAGCTGGAGCAGGAATACAAGAGCTGGGAGTAAAATAAAGCTTGTGGGTCAAGAGCTGAAAGAGCTGAAATCACTGGGCCTGCAGCAGTCATCATTGCGTATCTGGGATCGGGGTGGAACATGGCATCAGGACCATAGGGCTGGCACGGAGACTTTAGTGTTCTTGCACCGAAGTCACTGTCGGCCTGTGACGTGTATGCAGGGGCTGGGTATTGTGACTGAAAGTAGAATAGGATGTGTGGTGGGGAAAAGGGGGCTTCAACCTTGCGCCTGAAAACCCCGTTGATGATAGAATACTGCCTGGGCTTTTGATGGCACCACTTGGGGTTGAGCTGAAATCACTGTGGGGCCGGAAAGTTGACTGTGGGGCTGGGACTTTGAATGAGATTGGAAAAGGTACTGGACATGTGAATGGGGCTGTAGGCATGAAGGTGAACTTATGCAGGGACTAGCCCCGAGACTGGGGTTTGTTGAGCGGGAGCTAAAATCATTGCAGGGCTGGAATATTGTTGATGAGGTGCGTTAGATTGCCTCGGGGGCGAGCGAAATTGTTGCAGAGCTGGATCCCGGACTGAGATGCTGCTCTTTGAAGGTGGAGAACCAGAGAGCTGGAGCTGGAAGAAGATAGCGGGGAATAAAATAAAGCTTGTGGGTCAAGAGCTGAAACAGCTGAATTCACTGGGCCTGGAGCTGTCATCATTGTGCGTCTGGGATCAGGGCTGAAGACGGCATAGGAACCATAGGGCTGGCACAGAGATTTTATCGTTCTAGTGCCAAAATCACTGTAGGCCTGTGACATGCATTCAGGGGCTGGGGATTGTGACTGAAAATAGAACAGGACGTGTGGTGGGGAAAAGGGGGCCACAACCTTGCACCTGAAAACCGAATCGATGATAGATGATTGCCTGGGCTTGTGATAGCACTTCTTGGAGGTGAGCTGAAATCAGTGTGGGGCCGGGGAGTTGACTGCAGGGCTGGGACTTTGAATGAGAATGGAAAAGGTACTAGACCTGTGATTGGGGCTGTAGGCATGAAGGTGAACTTATGCAGGGGCTGGCAAAGTGACTGGGGATTGTTGGGCAGGAGCTAAAATCACTGCAGGGCTGTGATATTGCTGGTGGGGTGGGCTTAGAGTGCCTCGAGCAGGAGCTGAATTGTTGCAGAGCTGGAGCCAAGACCAAGATGCTGCCCTTTGAAGCTGGAGAACCAGAGAGCTGGAGCTGCAAGAAGAGAGGTGGCAGTAAAATAAAGCTTGTGGGTCAAGAGCTGAAAGAGCTGAAATCACTGGGCCTGGAGCTGTCATCATTGCGCATCTGGGATCGAGGCTGAACACGGCATAGTAACCATAGGGCTGGCACAGAGATGGTAAAATAAAGCTTGTGGGCCAAGAGCTGGAAACGCTGAAATCACTGGGCCTGGAGCTGTCATCATTGAGGGTGTGGGATTGGAGACGAACAGGGCATCGAAAGCTACGGCTGGCATAGAGACTTTAGCGTTCTTGTGCCAAAATCTCTGTAGGCCTGTGACATGGCTGCAGGGACTGGGTATTGTGACTGAAAGTAGAACAGGATGTGTGGTGGGGAAAAGGGGGCTTCAACCTTGCGCTTGAAAACCAAGTCAATGATAGATGATTGCCTGGGCTTGTGGTCGCATCTCCTGGGTTTGAGCTGAAATCAGTGTGGGGCCGGGGAGTTGACTGCAGGGCTGGGACTTTGAATGAGATTGGAAAAGTTACTAGACCGGAATGGGGCTGTGGGCATGGAGCTGAACTTCTGCAGGGGCTGGCAGTGAGACTGGGTATTGTTGGGCAGGAGCTAAAATCACTGCAGGGCTGGAATATTACTGGTGAGGTGGGCTTAGAGAGCCTCGGGCAGAGCTGAATTGTTTCAGAGCTAGAGCCAAGATCAAGATGCTGCCCTTTGAAGCTGGAGAAACACAGAGCTGGAGCTGCAAGAAGAGAGCTGGCAGTAAAATAAAGCTTGTGGGTCAAGAGCCGAAAGAGCTGAAATCACTGGGCCTGGAGCTGTCATCATTGTGCGTCTGGGATCGGGGTGGAACACGGCATAGGAACCATAGGGCTGGCACTGAGATTTTAGTGTTCTTGCACCAAAATCACTTTAGGCCTGTGACATGCATGCAGGGGCTGGGGATTGTGACTGAAAGTAGAGGAGGATTTGTGGAGCCTAAAAGGAGGCTGCAATATTGCCCCTGAAAACCCCGTCGATGTCATGCTATTGCCTACATCTCTGACTGCATCCCTAGGGATCGAGCTGAAATGACTGTGGTGCTGGGATTGTGGTTGAAAATGGATAAGAAACTGTAGGGCTGAGAAGGGGGCTGTGGGCATGGAGGTGAATTTATGCAGGTGCTGGCTCAGTGACTGGGGGTTTTTGGGCGGGATCTAAAATCACTGCAGGGCTGCCATATTGATGGTGGGGTGAGAATTTGAAATGGTTATCAGTGGAGACGGTGAACAGTATTTATCACTTGTTTCTGACAGAAGTCATAATGATACCTAAACTTCAATTGTATGGTCTTTTCGAGATTTATCAGCCAATGAACCCAAATAAAAAGAAGACATGAATCCTGTCAAGAATTACCTTTTTTTTTGAGGAAAATCAGTTTTTAGATGACATACCATATTTATCAGCTAGAATCACTAGTGTTACACACTATTCTTGATGACAGTGAATTTTGAAAAAAGCTCAATAAAATGTGCTTCAGAAGAAAATGCAGTAGTCTAATTAGAAAAACATATGGGATCTCCCAAGAAAAACAATCTACATAACTTTTTTCAACAGGATATTTACATTATGGTAATAATTTTAAATTTATATTTACCTTTCCTATTTCTTTTCTTTTCATGTAAAAGTTTAGTCCACTTAAACTGAAGATGTGAAATAAAAAATCAACTTTTAATGCTGTTGCAGTTACTTGTTTATTTTGTATAATTAGCGTGAGTAATGGCATAGCTAGGATTCACCTCATCACATGAAAATATTAAAGGCATTTTGTTGAGAAATGTTGGGTTTCCTGCCCCTTCTTTGTTTAAATTCAGGAAAAACAATTAAATCTCTTACATGTAATTACCATATAGTTTTAATGAACAGTAGCATTGCCCATATAGCCTAAATGGCTGGACCATGTTCTAGTGTTTGAGGAAGTCAGTTCCATAGCTGAACCCACTCTATTTGCAGCTGGCATTTTCTGTGAGGATTAGATGTATTGTGCATATTCACATACCCCTTGAAAAGCTCTGTCTTTCACCTCCACGAAAGTTCAGTATTTTTCTGGGAATGTTGCCAAACCTGATCTCCTTTTATGAGTGGGTGACCTGCCTAATAGATGAGAGAAAGGCAGTGGATATGTCTACGCAGACTTGAGTAAAGCTTTTGACATGCTTTCCCACAGAATGCTCCTGGAGGGGCTGCAGCCTGTGGTTTGGCTGCATGGCTGGACCCAGAGAGTAGTGGGGAATGATGTTAAATCCAGTTGGCAAAGGGTCACAAATGGGATTCTCCAGGGCTCAGTTTTGGGACGAGTCCTTTTTGGACTGTGGTCTGGACAAAGGAATCAAGTGCATCCTCAGTAAGTCACAGGAAGGACCAGTTTGTGTGGGAGTTTTGATTCATGGGGAGAAGGCTCTGCAAAGCCTGGATCCATGGGCCAAGGTCAACTGTGATGTCCAACAAGGCCAAGTGCCGGGTCCTGCACTTGTGTCACAACAACCCTGTGGAATGCTCCAGGTTTGGGCAAGAGTGGCTGGAAGGCTGCCCAGCAGGAAAGGACTCAGGGGTGCTGGTCGACAGGAGCTGTATATCAGCCCAGGTGTGCACAGGTGGGCAAGAAGGCCATTGGCACCTGTACCAGCCACAGTGTGGTCACTGCACCAAGGCAGTTGGTGTCCCTTGTGCTGGCACTGCTGGGGCGCCTCCAATCCTGCAGGCAGTTTTGAGCCCATCACTTCCAAAAGGACATTATGGTGCTGGAGCATGTCTAGAGAACGGTAATAGAGCTGGAGAAGGGTCTGGAACATAAGGCCTGTGAGGAGCAACTGAGGGTACTGGAATGTTTAGGCCTGAGAAAAGAAGGTTCAGGAGAAACTACCTGAAAGGAAGTTGTGGCAAGGTGAGGGGTCAGCCTCTTCTCACAGTCATTTAGTTACAGGACAAGGGAAAATGACCTCAAGCTGCACTGCAGGAGATTCAGGTTGTATATTAGAAGAATTTCTTCACTGAAGGAGTGGTTAAGCATTGGAGCAGACTCCCTAGGAAAGTAGAGGAATGTCCATCTCTGGAAGTGTTCAAAAAATGAGTAGATGTGGCACTTCCTGATATAGTGTAGTGTTATTTGGTGGTATTCAGTTAAAGGTTGGACTTGATGATTTAAGAGGCCTTTTCCAGCTTAATGATTCCATGATTCTTGGCTTTTTGTGCTTTGCTGCTTTCTTAGTGACTGCATGAAATGTGACCAAAGTATGCTGTAGCATCGTAAATGTATCTCCCAGGAAAAAACTATTAATTTTAAAATTATTATTAAAAGGGGATTAAATTAAAATAAATAAGATTATTTTTTATTAATTAATTTTATTAACTAATTAATTTAGGGGATTAATAAAATTAAAAGGGGATTAATCAATGCAGATATATTACATGACACTTTGAAAGTAAGTGTGACCGAACACATAGGGAATCGCCAAGACAGTTAATGATCTGAGTTAGCCTGTTTCTGTTAGGGAGTTCATTTGGTCTTTTGTTTACTGTTTGCAAGCATTAGGATAAAGGGCAGGTACAGGAACAAACCATAGACTGGATGCAAAGTTTTTATAAAGGCCATATCCAGCCTGCAGAAGTTGGTTTGACTACTCTGGCTTGAGAGTCTGTGTTCTTAAAATAAAATTATATGGCTCTCTCAGATCTCCTAGGATTACGTTCCAAACCTTGCATTACTGTCTTATATCAGTGAAATATTACAAATTGTGCTACTGGTACTTTTTTACAAAAGGAACTATAACAATATCATGGTTTTCTGAAGGAAAAGTCTTTGAAACTAAAAGCTGAAATGTGTGTGAGCTTATTTTGCATTGTTTATATGACTGTATTGTTGCTTTGAGATCTTCCTACATTTTGTGTGCTAAACTATATTTAGTTATTAAATACACAAAAAATTTATGTCTGTAATTTTAGATCTATTGTTGCACAGGATTTCTGGCTATAACACACCAGTTGCATTAAGTACATGTTGACTTGCTAGGTTGGTGGCTTTGTGAATATCAGTTACCTTCTGGAGGTCTCAATGGACGACCAGAGAAGGTATTGTGCGTGTTCTTTTCTTTGTTCAAACCTCAGCAGAGATTGCTTTTTCTGAAGCTGAACTATTGCAAAATGTCATGACTTCTATAAAACATTTAGTAAACTTTTCAAAGAAGTCAGGCCTTCATCCTGATTCTTTCTTTTGTTACTAACACCTGTCATGCAGTCCTTAGCCATGCTTCATTTGAGTCCTCAGTACAGCAAAGTACACATGCTGAAGGATGTCTTGCTGACCACTTGAACCATTATCCTGTTAAACTGGGTCTTTAATATTTTCTGACTTGGGGAATGATCTTTTCTATAGGATTTGTATAAAGATTACTGTTCTACTGGATGTAAATCCTGAATGTCATAGTGTTCCACATCACACTAGAGATTTATGTAACCTAGAATAATCTCTGGCAAATAGATAATCATCCAACAGATTCCCCTGCTTCCCCCCTTGCCCCCAAAATACAAATAGTTGATATGAACTTCTCTGTATTTCCTCTTGAAAGAAATGCTGTGGTTTTTCAGCCTCTCTCACAGAAGGTGAAGTCTTTAAAAATCACATTCTTGTGGTCATGTTTCTTGAAGAAGTTTGAAAAAGATAGTTTCCTTTCCTGAAAACAGAAGTCCACTGAAAAGAGACTCTGTCAAGAAATTCTTTTACTCCAAAGAGACTCTTAAGTGTTATGTCTCCGCAAGAGTATTATAGCACACCTGATAATGTGCAGAATTACCAGTAAAATTTGCAACATTATGTTTAAAACCCAGGCAAATATTTAATCTGCCTCCCTGCTTGCCAGTTACCTGATGTATGTTATTCATGGTGGGTGCTAGCTTCTTTGAAGATGATTGGTAGGATACAGTGGATTGACAGAGAGAAACTGCGCTGCTTTATTTTGGCGTGCCAGGATGAGGAGTCTGGAGGATTTGCTGACAGACCAGGAGATATGGAATGTGATATTTTTTCTAAATAAAGTACACATGAAAATTTCAACTGGAAATTTCATCTTTTGTTTGAGTGCAACTCAACTCATGGTCTAGGTGGGTTTTGCAGAGGCTGCAGTTTACTCTGAAGTAAGAATAGTGTAGAATTGCCATTGAAGGCCTGCTTGGGGAGTGCATTCTTTATAATGCACATGCATCCCCCAGTGAAGTCAGTTGCCATTCCTCACAAAATCTGGTTTGGTCCCCCATAACACACTCAACACAAACCATTTCTCACAAGACCATTTGGAAGATGTGTGTAAAAACGCTCTGTTTGGTGGTGGGTTTTCCAGTGCGTGTGTGGGTTCTTTGGGTTTATTATTTTGTTTTGTGAAATGATCTGCAAGCAAAAGTTTGGTGTAGGTTAAATAGTCTTCAACTCTCTTGGTCGTTTTGTCTGATCTAATTAAATCAAGAGTTTTTATTAAGAATCCCCATACACTAACTTTCATTCTTTGCTAGCCCAGCCACTGAATAAATCTTGTAGCTGACATTTGTCTAGCTGAGGGAGGAAGAAGCTTTTGTGATAACATCATCAAGAGGCTGGTGCTATGGATTTTTTGCTTGTTGAGAAAGCAGTTACAATTTTGCCAGTCTGTTCTCTTTGGTTTCAAGTGGAAGTAACTGATATTGTCCCAGTGAAATGGCAAATAAAGTTTTTATTTTTCAAGAGTGCTGGACAGATAAAATAAAAAGTATTGTTAGACTTCATTCCTTTTGAACACTTGGCTTATTTGTTAATGGTCTGGAAAGGTATTGGCTGTTTTTATTGCAGCTGCCCAGTCTGCTCCCTTCTCCAGAAATACATTAAAAAATAAAGTAACTTTTTATTTTTTTGCAAGCAGCTACTTTATTCCCAGCTGGGGGAGAAATCTGTTAACTCCGATCTGTCATTTGGAAAGTGTTTTTGTGTTCTTAAAATAGGAAGAGTTTTGTATTTCTAAGGAGCTTAGAGGAAGACCTTTTCTGTTTTCAGAATACTTGAAGAAAAGCCCAGACTTGAAGTCTAAATGCTTTTCTATCTTTGAGTAATGAAATCTTTGTATCTTCTTGGAAGAGTATCTCTGAAGAGCCTTTTCTCTATAACTAAGGAGAGCACCTTTGGGACAGCTTTTCCATGTCACATTAGCAGTCATTTAATATTATTTTTACCCATCTTCGATTGCTGAAGTGTAGAAATGTATACTCCTGTAGAAATGAGGACTCCCAGGTTTTTGCTTTATTCTTGCAGAAACATAGTCCTAACAGACCTTGTTGTTTTGGGGTATTTTGTGTTTGGGTTGTTTTTTCATTTGTTTGTTTTGTAGGGGGGAGAGGGGGTGATGGTCGTGTGGTTTAGGAGTTTGGGGAGTAAAGAACTTTTTATTTCTTTATTTTTTATTTTATTTTTGTTTTGTATTTATTTTTTGTTTTTACTTATTGTTTTTATTTTATTTTATTACTTCTGGGAGGTTTTGCTGCTTCCCTCTGAAGGTTTTGCAGCTCAGCTCTGTATTTGGAGACCAATAAGGAGCATTATGATGTTTCTGAAGAACAAATGGGGAATTTATGGAAGTGGTACCTGTAGATGATCCAGTTTACTTTTAAAATGTTAATTATCTTTGCTTCTACCACCCTGTGATATTGCATGCTAATAGACAAATGTGAGTGCTTTCTGTCTAACTCAGAGTTGAAAATCATCTCTGCAGCAGCAGACAATTGACAAGCATGCCTGAGTAAATCATAGTATTGTAAATGCCTGCTAAGGAAATTTCTTGCCTGTCGGCACATGTTAGCACAAATGAAAATTTATTCAGTTGTATTGTCTTCCCCAGAGAAGCCATGGAGATTTTCTGGTTTTTTGTTGGCAGATGAAAATTCATTCCATACAAGTGAAAAACCAGTTGACTTTTGGAAACAGACACAAGATTTCTTTTTTCTTCCAGGTGGATCCATTTGACACCTTATTTGGTATTGCTGGACAATCTTTATTAGGAGAAGAACAAATTAAGGCTGTCAATCCTGTCTTTTGTATGCCAGAAGACGTCCTTCGAAGAATAAACGTACAGCCTGAGCTTGTAAGCTAAGCCTCGTAAAAGACAAAAGCTTTGTATTGCTTTTTGGTTTTACTAATTTATAATCTGATCTGTGAAACTGTCAGCATATTCTTCTTTCAGATGTGTTTACATTATGGAAGTAAAGCAATAGCTTTGCTATGGACTTTGTCACTTTATAAATTGTTTCAGAACAGGCTGGTTCTCTTAATCTGAGTGTAACATGTTATTTTGTTGTATTCTAAGTTGTGTAGAAACATTTCAATTCTGTATTTAAATGTATGGGCCTTGGCTTTTTTTTTTTTTTAATATAATATTCAAATCAGAGCTTGACTGTGTGAATGCTTAACTTTTCTATTCCTGTAATATCAACTATGCTAGTACTGGTCTTCATACAGGCCTCTTTTGATGGGGGATCATGCAAAGCACTTTAAAAAAACAAAAAAAAACACCCCAAACCAAACAAACCAATAAAATCCTACCTGAAGCATGCACACTTACCACACACTTACATATTTAATTATTCCTGTTCACATTTGCCATCACTTTTCTATACTGAGAAACAGCTGCTTCTTCTCACAGTAATTGATACCAGTAATACCGTAATACCATAGTTATGGTTCTTTTAAATATACAGATGTCTTCATTTATTGATGAGTCCCTTAAACAAAATTCCACTGATGCCTGAGATACAGCACATCTTGAGTATGTAGAGTGAAACTTGCTAGCATTAAACATTCTAGAGAAGGTCCCTGTTGGATGGTGACTTGTAACTGAACATAGAGTTGATGCTAAATCTCTTGCTGGGTTGAAATCCTGATTTTGTAGCTTTTAAGACACTAATTGACAACACTTGATTTTGGTGTAGTTGGAAATAAAATAAGCTGTGGAAAATACTTGGGTGTATCCTCTTTGTCTTCATAGAAGTGCTAAGATTGCCTCTTAATTTACATTCCATACATCCTAGCTGAGATTGAATGATATTCCACTTGTAATATACAGTAAAAGGTAATTGGGAAGGGGAAGAAGTCTTTGATAATCTCTATACTTATGTTTAAATAAGGCCTAAAGTTGTTTCACCAGTACTTCACTCAGCAGAGATAGCCACCCAAAATTTGGCCTGCACAGTTTTCATACTAGCAGAACTGTATATTGATTTGTAGTCATTTAAAATAAAAACCCAAACCCACTGAATATAAAATATTTCCTTAGGCTACAATATTGAGAATTAATTTGATAACAGTAAAGACTACTCTAGCCATGACCAGCTTTTGAACCAAGTTCAGACACAGTAACAAAAGTGCCTTTTTGCACTTTTTAGTGCCTTTTTTAGCACTTCAGAAGCAAAGGCTTTATCTTGAGTACAGCAAAGCAGTCCAAAGTCCAATTTGGCTGGAGAGAGTGCCTTAAGTCACAGCAGTTAGGTGAACGGTTGAGCTTTTTCTATTCTTAAGGGTGTGTCATTATATCATTCTTGTAGCTCTGTAGTAAGAGTGCCTCAAGCGGAAGAGGGCTATAAAGCTATACATTTCCTAACACCTCAAAGGATCAAGAACCAGCCTTAAAAACATCTATTCCTTCTCCCAAGTTTATATATATATATGTATATATCTCCCAAGTTTATTTATACACACACACACACACACACACATATATATATATATATATATATATATATATATGTATATCCCCCCTCACACCTCCACTACCGTCCTGAAAAGTGTAGTCTCTTCCTGTGTCTGGCAGCTCTGAAATCCCACATCACTGTTGCACCACAACTACAGACCTTGAATCAACCTTCTCCTACCAAAACGCTGACCCTTAAATTATCAGAAATTTGACAGATCTCAAAACTGACAGGCTGTGCTCTGTCTGGAGTAGCCTTGCCAGCATCTCCTGATTCCAAATTCCAGGTCAAGAAAAACCTCTCTCATTGTCCCAAAACATGTACACAAACTCCATTCACTGCATCTTATGCAGAATTTTCAAGGACAAAAATCAAACCCACAGTATAGCCTCCAACTTTTGGGCAAATCTTTCTTCAGAATAACTAGAGTGATCTGGGTCCCTTGCAGTGGTAACTTCAGAAATAGCTCAGCATTTGAATGAAGTGAAAGGAATGGCACAGCTGGCCATGTGGAGTAGGTGAATGCTTATGGGCGTAGTGGACATCTTGTTTCTTTGTTTTTTTGGGTGCCATAGGAGATGGCGTGCAACAGGTGAGCGGAGTATAGTCCACTACTGAGGACAGAATTATTGTGGAATCGGTCCGTGTTGGTTGGCATACCTCCAGCCCTGTGTTTTTACAAATCATGAAGAGGCATCTACTGCTGATGGCAGCAGCATCCCGGTTAAATCGGTGTTGCAGTTCCAGCGTGATGCCTCCTCCGGCGGCATCTGTCCAGAGGCAGAGTTGTTTTTTCTGCGTATGGTAGTCTCGCATCCTACGGTCACGCCGTGTTACGTTAGCCTGTGAGTGCTCGGGGTGGAGCTGCAGAAGCTCAGAGCACTCCTGCTACTGCGGCCCCGCTGGACCCCGCCTCAGCGTGCCCCATTCCACTACGGTTCGGCGCAGCCGTGCCAGCCGCCCGCCCGCTGCTGTCGGTCAGGGATCCCGCGGCCGCCCCCTCCGCAGCCCTGCCCCTCCTCAGCACGGCCCGCGGCCGCAGGTCTCAGGCGCGGGGCGGGCCGGGGCGGTTCTGCGGGGCGGGGCAGGGTGGCCTAGGGGGCGGGAGCGCCCCGTCTGCCGCCTTTCCGCGGCGAGAGTGGCCCTTGGGCGCGCGAGCGTTTCCGGGGCAGCGCCATCACCGTCACGCTCAGCGTCGTGATCACCATCATCATGACAACGCTCCGCGCCTTCACCTGCGACGACCTCTTCCGATTCAACAACATGTGAGCGCCGGCTGTCCTCTCTTCCTGCCCCCGAGCCCCTGCGCTCTTCCCCATCCCGCGGCGTCCTCCCGGCGCCCCGCCGGCCGGGCGGGCCCGGGCCCTGGCCCGTGCTGAGCGCCGCACTCTCTTCCTCCACAGCAATCTGGACCCGCTGACCGAGACTGTATCCTTCCCGCCGGGGCAGAGGCGCGGGGTCGGGCGCGGGAGGCGCAGCCTTGGCGGCCGCAGTTACTCCTTAACCAAGCGCCCAGTACGGGATTCCCTTCTACTTGCAGTACCTCGCCCACTGGCCCGAGTATTTCATCGTCGCCGAGGCGCCCGGCGGGGAGCTGATGGGTTACAGTGAGTGCCGGGTGTCCCGGCGGTAACGTCTCCCTTCGTTGCCTCCTTCGGGGATTATAACGCGGGAGTTTTTCTTACTCTTCGCGTTGACCAAATGTCCAACATGGAAGAGGAACCTTGCGTTGCATCTTCCCATTTCTTAAATGTCTTGGGGTATTATGCAGGACTCATGACCATAGCTTCCAGTTTGATGTTCCTAGCGCAGCGAGGAGCCTTGGCTGTGGTATCATCCACCCGTATTTGGCGAATGGGTATTTCTGTAATCTGGAAGATTAAGTCCCTACCCACAGGTAGTAAAAGTGCTGGGCTTGCGTTTTGCATTGCCCTGTAAAGGAAAGCTCTTTACATCTGGGCCTGGATGTCATTTGCTAATTTACTGTGGAATATTTTTGTTTTTCAGAAATCATGTCAAAGAGAACTGCCAGGAGATGGGGGGGGGGGGGGGGGGGGGGGGGGCAGAGTAATGGTTTTTGCAGGGACCCAGGAACTAAAAGTATTTGACATACTAAAGCAGAAAGTATGTGTGCTGTACAGAACATTTCTCTGTATCCACCACACTTGTTGCTTATTAGCAGTGACTGCGATATCTATTAAAAGCACAGGGTGGAAGTGTGAATGTTCATTAATAAACTAACATTGGATTGAAAGGAGAGAAACTAGAAAAAAGCCCCCCAAAACACCATCCCCACCTCCACTTTTTTTTCTTTTTTTTTTTTTTTTTTTCCCTTAAACATATTGTGTTTGCAGGGCCTTAGCTTTCTATTGCCAGACTGGCAAAGCATCCCAAGCTCTATTCCCTCATAATCTCCAAAAGTCTCAAATAGTTGCTGGGATGGTAATTTTGGGTTTCTAGCCCTCTGTTCCTCCTTTATTTCAGTCAGATTTCAAATTTTGGTTCAGTGAGACTTGTGAGAATTGCTTAAAATTTGCATTTAGAAGTCACCTCAAGCAAGGAATTTGCAAACTTGTTTGGTGTTTTTTTACACTAGTCAAGAAACTGCTGTAATATTTGAGTGAAATGACATCTTTAGTGGCTGCTGAATCATAGAGTGAAAAGGTAGACATCCCTGTTTTAGCCTTTACCACAACCATTGTATCATGTGTTTATTCATGGCTTATTCCTCTTGTGAAGTTGTCTGGCTGCAGGCAGTGCATTACTCCAAAGGTGCTGCTGCTCTGATGCTCTGTATGTTCACAGTCATGGGCAAAGCCGAAGGCTCTGTGGCTAGGGAAGAATGGCATGGACACGTTACTGCTCTCTCTGTTGCACCAGAATTTCGACGGCTGGGTTTGGCTGCTAAATTGATGGAACTTCTGGAAGAAATTTCAGAAAAGTGAGTAGTATGGCTATCTTTAAATTTATCTTTTAAAGTAACATTTAAAAGTAGTATTTCTACAGAAACCTGTCCCTGTTTTATGTGGCAAAATTTTGCTTTACGTGGTGTTCTGATTTTCTGAAATTCCTCATAGTTGGAGAAAAAGAGTTGTGAAAGTTGCTTAGCAGTTTAAAATCTCAGGGTTTCTCTGAAAGCTGACTTGCCAGAGGGAGGAGGAAATAGCCTGAATTCCAGTAGAGACAGTGTATAAAAGAACATTCCTTGACAGAAAATGAGCTTTGTGAAACATCAGCACTGTTTCCTGTAGGGCCTCCAACATACTTGTTCAGTAACTGTGGGCTTTGTGCAATGCCCTCAGGCACAATCCTGAACAAATTTTGTACTGCAGAGAGTATCTTAGTTTACTTGCCATCCCCTGCTTGGTTACTTGTACCTGAGAAAATTTAATTTAGTGTCAGATGAACCCACTGGGAAATGTCCTTAGCTGATTCTAGTAGGGCAACCCCACTATGGTTGATAAGACTGGAAAGTAGTATGCTGTTTTGAAAAATTTGCCTTGTGGAATTAAGGGTCTATCGTCTCCTGTTAGGCAACTGAATTTTGTGACTGATTCCACTTCTCCTAATCCAAGCAATCCAAAATGTGGATACTTTTTAAATTGGATTTAGGCCTGTGGGGGCATTTAACTTGTCTTGTTCTTTCTGATCAAATTTCTGAACCCACTGACTGGTGAAAAATGGCCATGTGATAAAAATAAAATTAAATCCTTGTCTATGATTGAATTTTCCCTTGGTAAATGAGTGTATCTGTTATTACATTGGGAAAGATGTTTAATTAGTATACTACATTGGACTTGCTTGTGTTACATTACCATTTATGAGTTGTTATTTAGAAATACATTTACCTGCTATTCCTTAATGTGGTTTTGTTTGTTTCTTTTCTTCCCCTGCTAAAGAAAGGGTGGATTTTTTGTCGATCTCTTTGTGAGAGTATCAAATCAGGTTGCTGTAAATATGTATAAGCAACTAGGCTACAGTGTGTACCGAACAGTCTTAGAGTACTACTCAGCTAGCAGTGGGGAGCCAGATGAAGATGCTTATGGTAAGTTCTTGTTTGGTCTCAAATTGAATGGAACTATTCTCATGTTAAAGGTTGCTGGGATTGTTTGTAAGACTGTTACTATTTTTTATATGAAACACATTAAAAAACATGAAACAATTTGAAACAATTATATAAACAATTTCAGATAGTTGCTGATTAATGGGAATTTTGTATTTTTGCAACTTTCCCTAATTAAGATTATGTCAGTTACTAAACTTAATCGTGCCACTTACACATTTTGTAGCATCTCTGGCAAAATCAACCACAGAACAAGAATAAATGAGAAGGAATGTCAGTGCTTTCTTCCTTTCATCCCATAACAGGGACTTGAAACTTTGTTTTTCTCAGATGTCTATGTATAAATTAACAATTGTCAGCGTTCAGCAACGGCAAAGAATTGGGTACCATTTTCAATTTAAAAGGGAAGGAACATGGAAATTCAAGTATGTTAATGTTAATTAGGTTAACAAAAGTGAACTACCAAGTGCTTCCTCTTTCTAGGTCCTTTTTAAAATTATCCTCCCAAAGGGTTACATGGCCAGGCTGTGTATCGTTTCTGTTCTTGCACTGTTTATTTGACACGTAGGAGCACTGTGAAAATACAAGGGCTCAGACAGACAGACATCTACCATTGCTGCATGTGACTTAAGTCATATATTTGTCTCTTTAGCTTGTCATTTCCTTTCCATTTGGGTGAGTTTCATGCAGTGTTTTATATCAGTTGATATCATTGCCATTGAGCAACATTAAGGACAGCAGTGTGTCCTGAGGAGAGCAACCAAGATGGTGAGAGGTCTCAAGAGCAAGATTTAGGAGGAGCAGCTTATGTCCATGAGTTCGTGCCACTTGGAGAAGAGAAAGCTGATGCGTGCCCTTGTCACAGTCTATAACTTCCGAGGACAGCAGAGAAGGGTGTTGATCTCCTCCCTCCGGTGACCAGGACATGAGGAGATGGAGCAAAGCTGTGTCAGGGAATGTTCAGAGTGCACGTTAGAAGGCTCTTCACTGAGAGGGTGGTTGGTAACTGCAATGGTCTCTCCAGGGAAAGGGTCATGACACCAAGCTCATCAGAATTCAAGGAATATCTGCACAATGCTCCTAATCCTACAGTATAATTTTAGGTAGTACTTTGTGGAGCAGGGAGTTGCACCCTTATGGGTCCTTTCAAACTTGAGGTAGTCTTATGATTCTAGTAAATTTTCTTGATTAAAAATTATCTTATTTTAATGGAGAATTCACTTAATATGGTTTTGTGCAATGAATTACTATAATAGCATTTTTTCCTGTCGCTATAGATATGAGAAAAGCTCTTTCCAGAGATACAGAGAAGAAATCAGTTATACCTCTGCCTCATCCTGTGAGACCAGAAGACATTGAGTAACTTTAAGCTGCGGTTCTCATGCAATGTACCAAGGGTCAGGTTCTGTCTCCTATAACCCCCAACAACTTATGCATAAGAAGTTTTAGGCCAAATGTTTTTCCCATAAAATACATATAAAAGCAATGTTGAGAAGCTGACTAACACTGCTTCTATTGGTAATGCCTGTATACTGCCACACTTACTCTATTTTTCCTTTCACATGTTGGAGAATTGGAGACTATTAAAATGGAATTACTTCCTGTATGGTCTTTTCTTGGTTTTCTTGTTGCAGCTAAAATTTATTTCTGTTTCAGGAAGCATCTCATTGTATAGTCTGTGATTTAACAGTTCCCATGCCAAGTTAATTGTGGTGAAAGAAGGCAAATTAAGCCAGGACACTCAACTAGGATGCCCCAAAACCCTGCCAATCACAGGTTGCCAAAAAAACCCCACCCCAGGTTACAAAAATATTTGAAACTCAGGTACAAAAATACCAAATCCCCCACCTACAGAAATACAAAAAACTCCCCCTACAAAAAACTAGGTTCCAAAACACAACCCTAGGTGTATTTTTGTTCAAAACCCTAGTTTTGAGCCCTAGTTTCAAAATAATAGAAAACCAGGTTTCAAAATCACAGATTTAAAATACCAGAATTTTAACCTAACCCAAGTTCCAAAATACAAAAGCAACCTAATTTCAAAATACCAGAATAGCAAGTTCAGAAATATCAAAATAACACAGTTTCAAAACACTAGAATACCAAGTTCCAAAATACCAAAATAATTCCATTTCAAAATACCAGAATATCAAGTTCCAAAATATCAAAATTACCTCATTTAAAAGTATCAAACTGCAAAATACCAGTTTTCAGATCTCTTATGTGGTCAGGATTCCCAAACCTAAAAGAATGCAATATTGTCAAAATGGAATCTGTGCTACCAAAATGGATATTTTCTTGTCTGAAAAGCTTTCCTCTGGTAACCATCAATACATGCATTTATTCTAATTGTACAGCCAGATGCAATAAGAATTTTACTTTAAAAGCAAACACTTGTAGTAGCTGTCTGCTTAGTTTGTGTCTGTGAGACCTGGCATTTGGGCCGGAGAGCTGTGGTCGGGATCAAAGGATGGAGTAAATCTTTTCCCTGCAGATGCACAGCAAAAGACTGCGGAGCAGGCAAAGGGAGCATTTATATATTTCACTGAAATTCAGGGCACAACAGCATGGGGGTGCTCAGGTTCATCAGGATTAGTCATAAACAACACAGCCAAACCCATGACCCCTCAAGGGATGTGTCAAACGCTTCAACAGAAACACAGTTAAGTAATGATTACAGAAGAAAAATTACCAGTAATCACTTACGGTCCATGGAGAATTTCCTCGGTAATTACAAAGCTAGGACATACGGAATTTTGGAGGCAGAATCCACAATTTTGGCCACGGGCACCAGGATGAGAAGGCTGGTTCTTTTCCACGGAAAGGAAAGCCCAGCACTCTGGTGTTTCAGGGGCAGACAAGGGGCCATGTAGGGAAGGGAACGACGACCGGGACTTTTCTCCACCTCCCCCCCCCCCACTCGAAGGTGCAGCAGCCCCAGGTGTGACCAGTGAGGATGAGGAGGGGGCAGCTCTTGCCAGAGGCTGCTTTCAGAGGGTTACACGGGCACACCTGCACAGGGAGCTGAGAGTTGAGAGGGGGCAACACAGGCATCCCGAGAGTCCCTCCAGGATCAGTGGTTACAGGATCCATCAGGGGCTGGGGAGCAGCCAGCTGCACCTGAGCATGGAGCAACACTCCTAGAAAAAGTCCAGGGAAAAGCCCTCATGCCAAGAGACAGAACCTGAGCAGGCAGAGCAGCACGTGTGGTCCCAGAGGGAAACTTTCAAGTTTCCCCTTTCATCTGGTCAGTCCCCCCCTCCCTCCCAGAAAAGAGATGGGCCATTAGGAGAAAAGGAATTTAAAATAAAGGAAAAGGCTCCCTTTTCTGTAACTGTCTGTGTCTAAATTGAAGAGGAATCTGCTTCCCCTGCAATTTTAATGGTTTCAATTAAAGGAAACCCTGCCTTTTCCATGGTGCTGGGGGTATTAATCATCAGGGAATCCCCATTTTCCATTATTTTCCAGTTTAAATGGAAGGCAAAAACCTTGATGATGCTATTTTATGGGTTTGAATTAAGGGTAGCTTCCTCCTTTTCATCATCTTAAGGTTTAAATTGAGGGGGAAGCCCAGTTGTCCCTCCTTCTAAAGGGTTTGAACTGAGGGAAAATCCTCCTTTCCCCATCACCAGAGATATTTAAAGTGGAAAAACTCCACCTTTCTCCAGTAGTTTAGGGGATTAAATTAAAGGGAAGAAGCCGCTTATTTGCCATTTTATCAGTTCAAGTGGACGTAAGCTCCACCTTTCCCTCAATTTAAGGGGTTTAATTGAGGGAAGCTTCTTCTTTTTCAGCATTTTAAGGGTTTAAATCTACATTTCAGGGTGCTCCTACCCATGTCCCAGTACCAAATGGCACATCAGTGTGGGCCTAGCACTGCCCACAGTCTAGTCTCCCACTACCCAGGAGTCTTATTTTTTTTTTCTTGGTTTTATTTATAACGTATATAGGTCAAATTAGAGGTCCCAGTGCGAGTTACACTATTCATATTAGTACTCTTCTCCACCCTGCTTAGTCACACCTGGAGTACTACTACTGAGTAATCACTAGGGAACAATTATGCAAGTTAACAACAAATTATCAAACTTATCTAGCTATACTGCCAAAACACAAACCTTCTTATCAGTTTTATGCCCTTTTTCTTAGTGCAGTTGCAGTAAGAAACAAAGCACTGTCATTTCCTTGAAGAGTTTTCTCCTTCATCAAGCCCTTTACCCACCTTGAATTTAGTCAGAGGAGCCATACAGTTGCAGTTCCTCTGAGGGCTTTTATAGCTGGTGGGATTTGCCCCCTCCCTTTTCCCGGATATTGTGGAAATGAGAGGCAGCACAACCAGGGATATATTAACCCCAGCCTTTGCTAAGGGCCTTCATTCTCTCTCTGGGATCAGCTAGGATAAGAGTTCTCCTCTTATTTCAGTGAAGAGGCTCTTTCAGCTTATCTCAGCTTGTTTTCAGCAGGTGGTTTTGGGCATCTAAAGCAACAGATGCTTTGAAGATACTGTGCAGAGAATAGCATTGAACACAGGGAGTATTTAAGTTCATGATTTTGGATTGCGTGTTCAGGGCTGGTGACATGCTTTTATAATTTCTGGTTTTCTTGGGGTTTTTTTTAGGAAGAATGCAACTTATGAAGAGTTTAGGAGGAGAAGCTCATAAAGAATTGCAGCCCATGAGAAGGACCCATATTGGAGAAATTAATGGAGAACTGTCTCCTGTAGGAGGGATTTCATGCTGCAGCAGCACAAAGACTCCTCTTCCTGAGGGGGAAGCAGTGGCGTGAACTGACTGTACCTTCTGTTCTCATCTTCTTGCACTACTAGTGGGGAGGAGTGAGAGAATGGGGAATAAAGTTAAACCTGGGAAGGAGAAAGGGATGGGGGAAAGGTGTTTTAAAGACTTATTTTACTTCTTATTATCCTACTCTGATTTTGATTGGTAATTAATTCAATTAATTTCTCCCTTTTTTTCCCTCTGATGTCTCCCTGTTCTTATCTCAGCTCATGACCTTTTTTATATTTTATCCAGCTGAGGAGGGAAGTGATTGATAGAGAGGCTCTGGTGGGCACCTGCCATCCAGCCAGGGTCCACCCACCACAGCAGTATTCTGAACAAAGTGTGCAGGCTTTCACTGAAGGGAAGACTTAGTAAGGGAGTTTTAGTAAATATTGTCATTGGAGTGTGAAAGAGTGAGTGATCATGTTTAGAGTAGCTACCAACAGTTTTCTAGGCAGGCTCATGCTCCAGGCTCTAGTGGCATGTATATGTCTGCAGTCTTAGAGCTTCTGCAAGGAATCAAAACCTCATGGTTGGAAAACTGTCATGTGAAAAGGGAAGATTTCCTTGACCCTTAGTATTTAATTTGTCTGTCAGTGCCCCAGGAAAGCTGAGACCCTTGTGCCTGACCAGTCTATCAGTGTCCTGTTACAGGGACCCTTTGTTGAGCAGTCCTGCTGGATTGAAGTTTGACTGACATTCAGGGAAATAGGCCAAGATCATAATGGAGATCCCTTAGCAGGTCTTCCCACTTTATGACCCCTCAGTAGGACTTCTTATTTGAATATGTTACCTGCTGCTGGCAACTGCTAGCACCCATGAAGGAACTTTGGAATTTTATGGAACAGTTTATGAACTATACTCTTATTATAAATATAAAATTGTGACAGGTTAAGGTTCAGGAATTGTTGGTGATGGTATCTGTCAGTGATAGTATTTAACTGCAAAAAATTACTCAAAGCAATATACAGACAAGCTGTAGTCCCCAATAAAAATATTCAGCAGGCAGAGTGCATTTCTAACCCAACAGGTGTTCCTATGGGGCAGAAGACAGGCTCAGCCCATTGACTGATCCCAGCAGTTATGATGGTGCCTTCACTAACTTTTTCTCCATTCTTGGCTTACTTTTATAGTATTTCTTTATATTTAGGTGAAGCTTGAGTGACTCTACTCATGCATATATTTGCTACTGACTGGTGTAAAATCCTCTCACTTCACTTTCAAAGATACAATCAAAAAAATGTATAGGGCTCATGCCAAGTGAGAGGTTGTTGTAACTTGGAGGCAGGTAACTTTGGGATGCACAGCAGGCAGCCTGCCCTCCATCTGGGTGTGAAGAAGGCAGGGCTGGGAACTGTCAGCAACATCCCACCAGGTCTGGCTCATGGTGCCACCCTGAGGGTTTCCCCTGTCTTCGGGCAGTCCTAGCTACTGCAGCTCACTTGACAGAGACTTGCGGTCTATACTATGCTTGGCTGCACTGGAGAGGATGAAGCTGAGGACAGCAATGGTTGCCTTCACATCCCCTGACTGCAGACGGGAGGGAGGGCGAGCTCTGTCACCTTGGGAAGGCATCTGCAGATTCATTGCTGCCCATCTCTGGAGCATGGCTCCATTGGGGGATTGTGGTAAGGACACCAGTACTCACCTAACTTTGCACCTGAGGACAGCTTCAGGATCTTGTCATACTGTGGGAGAGCAGAGCTTCACAGTAAACACCAGCTAACACACTTACTACCAGTGTTAACACTAACAATTCTTACCCAAATAACACTTACTATGCATATTATTAATGCTAGTAGAGGCTGGTAGCGTTCTTAACGCTGAGGCT